TTTAATAACAAACTAGAATTATGTTTGTGGACAAACACAAGACTGTTTTGGTAACTTTTTTGTGACAAATATGTGACATAGTTTCAAGTACAAGTTCCATCATTAAAGGATGTGTAGTATATGTTAAATGGTGGCATATAAATATGTGATTACATTCTCGTAGGGCTTTGAATTATGACGTCCCGACGTCATGATGAGTCACATAAAAAAGAAAATAATGTGTTATTGTATTTTTATGTCATGTAAGGCTGATAGGACAATATTTGCGGAAGAGTGAACAGGATCAATACAGTTCTGTAGATATTGGTATTCAAAATATGCACATTTAATATGACGTCACATATCACTCATCGTGACGTCACTTCAATTTTCATCTATAGCACATCCCGGTCTAGGTACGTACCAAGTTTCAACCGTATCGGACCTGCAGTTATGGAGATGTAGGCCTTCAAAATATGCTCTTTTAATATGACATCAAATATCACGTGATGACGTCATCGTAACGTCACTTCAATTTTCATCTTTAACACATCCCGGTCTTGGTACGTACCAAGTTTCAATTCAAATCGGACCTGTAGTTTTGTAGATATTGTGCCTTCAAAATATGCACTTTTAATATGACGTGACATGTCACGTGATGACGTCATCGTGACGTTACTTCAATTTTCATTTATAACACATCCCGATCTAGGTCCGTACCAAGTTTCAACCCAATCGGACATGTAGTTATGGAGATAAAGGCCTTCAAAATATGCACCTATATTGTGACGTCCCGCGTCACGTGATGACATCGTGACGTCAATGTTTGGCACACATCTTTATAGATGCTTGTTTAAGTGTGTGCCGAGTATAAAGTCCATCAGATTGATTTTAGTGCCCAAAGTGCCTTCCACGATGAAAACGTGTACAAATGCTATGGGGAATGGCAAAAAAAAGAAGAACAAACTAGAGATCTATGTCTGTTTGCAACAGAACATAGGGCTTTTCTGCGTTGTTTTTTATGAATAACACGTCACCACGTCACCATGTCCGTTTGCAAACAGAACACAGGGCTTTTCGCATTTTACAAATGTTTATGTTTCGTTGGTTCTTTTGCAGTCACTTGTCAGAGTGCTTCATGCAGTTAAAGGTTGTTCAAATGCTTAGAATAATTCCGAAAATATAATTTTATCACATGACGTCACATGCCCTGCAATGATGTCATCTTTAAAACCCTTCTCAATACACATTTTGTCATTGTGGTCTTGGTTTGAACCAAGTCTATTGTCAATCCGATGAAAGAAAGTGTGCAATTTTGAAGCACGGGAAAATTATTATAAATATTAAAAAAATTATTTAAAAAATCAAACTATGACGTCATCGTGACGTCACTTCGAACTTTGCATACTAGCACCATTATCTACCTACCAAAGTTTTTCAAAAGTATTGTGCAAATACCTATTAACTAACAAACCAAAAACAAAAAGAATTTTTAACTTTACATGCTGCGTTCGTGAGATCTGGCTAAGTGGTAAAATTTCAAATATTCATATAAGATCTCAGGATGACGTCCATATTACGTCACCTCCTTTTTTACCTATAACACATCCCGGTCTAGCCACATACCAAGTTTCAACCCAATCGGACTAACAGTTCTGTAGATAAAGGACTTCATAAATATGACAGTAAATATTTGAAATCTGAAGCATTTACTCCTTATATATTTATATGAAACGAAGTCAACGCTTATAATGTAGCAAAGGCTAATGGTAAAAACTAATAATTTTCAGATTTTAGCAAATGGTTTTTAGTAAAAGTGTTTGCTTAATTTTCATTTATACAGATGCGAGTAAATGCTTCAAAATTGGAAGTAAAAGCAAATGCCATGTTTTATTCATACGAACATGGTATCATTTGTATTTTATGAACTTTGTTAATATTAAATTTTCGCGATTAACAGGAATGCTTGGCCTTACGTCCTTAATCAAAACTGTCGTCCTAAGAATCTAGCTTGCTTATGTAATTTTTGATCTAGTGCACTTGGCTCTCAAATTGGAATCATTTATATCATTTGATGAATGAGTGATACACGATGGGATTTTGACATGAACGAATCAATAAAGTCACCATTTTTTTGAAAACAAGACCTTTGAATGAAAGTTTTTGAATTGAGTGTTATAATTTTATTATAGACCATATAATTCAATGAAGAAAAATTGTGAAATAGTTCCATGATAAATGGAAACTTAAAAGTTATACGATATGAAACGTGAGCAAAAAGTTTTGCTCTTTCGATATAATTGAGGAACATAATCATGTCGACTTTATACATGTAGTGCTCGGAAGGCATTCTTTCTTTTGTCAACTACACTCGTCTGTTGCGAGGAGAATTTTAAACCCCATTAGTTTACAACGTTGAGGGCGCAATATCACTTTACTGATCACAACCATAGACATGAAATATGATCACAACAGTGCCAAGCGCCATGTACCGTCTAGACAAATCTGCGTAGAAACTATCCTTTTTGCAACCAATTATGTCCGCGACCATAATGCGCATCCGTCAGATGGTAACGAAATGGTTCTTGGACTGAACTATTATGTGATGTAACTGGATTGACAAAAGTTTCACTCTTTTGTTATAATTGAAGAACATATTCATGTCAACTTGGTAGTGCTCAGGGGGCATTATTTCTTTGTCAACTACACTCGTCTGTTTCCCTGCGAATTTTAAACCCCAAATTTTACAAAGTTGAGGGCGCAATATCACTTTACTGATCATAAACTATTTTACTGATCTTATTGTGCTATTATTGTTTTTCAGTTACCAACTGTACTCCATGACCATAATGTGCACTCGTCCCTTCGGAATTGATGGTTCTCAGACTTGACCACCCCTTTAAAAATCCTACAGATTCATCAAACAGGAACAAAAAGTCAAATTTCCCCCATTATTACATCCCATGAATAAGCAAAACTCAAGAAAGAAACTTCATTCGTGACACATTCCAGGCCTGCTATTAATAATTATATTCAGTCTGCACAAACAAAGAACAACAACAACAACAACAGCAACAATTCGCATCCGCGTGCCCTTTAAAACAGTTCATTGAGATCACATGGTCACCTTCAGTGAAGAAACCAGTATGCACGCTATTAGCTGTAAAACAATTTCACAGTAACGGATTATCTTAACAATATTTAGGCCTACTTCAATATTTTCAGCACTGAAGGCGGCCTCATTTTAATTCTGATAAAACTGAAAGCGTGATCGATTGAAGGGATGCACGCATAAAAAGGATAAGGCCTTAGGGACAATGGAGGAAGGAAGAGAAACAACCCCAAACACCACAAGACACAAAAACAAAACCATTTAAGAAAGGACGACTGAGACAAAATTTATTTGAGTGATTGATATGTTATCTGAAATCACAGAAATCACAAAATTAACACATGGACTGAAACTTATGCATCATAATGGAGATAATAATAATTATAATAATAATAATAATAAACCCGTTCTTATAAAGTGCATTTTACACGGGGTTCCAATGCGCTGAACAATTAACATAGAAAATACAAACATTATTTAAAATTTGCAGTGGACAGATGGGTTTTACTAAGATAAGCTTTGAAACTGTCCAGGTTGGGGCATCCTTGATGTGATTGGGTAGTATGTTCCAGAACATGGGGCTGCAGTATATGTTGCAATATAAGGTGCCATTTAATATGTAATTACATTCTCATTGGGCTTTGAATTGTGACGTCGCATGTCACATGATGACGTCATGATAACGTCACATCAATTTGTATGTATAATTATAATTATATAGTAAAGAACAACATAGCCAGAGCATACATCGTTGAAAGCAAGTTCACATCTTTCACCAATTTTTAATTACAAGACACTTCCGGCTTTAACATAATATAAAAATCAAGACCCTTGATTATTCTATCCATTCCCGCAATCGTCAAGTTCAGGTCGCTCATGGTTGATTTTATAGTGATTTTCATAGATTAAATCAAATAATTTATAACGTGACGTCACGTGACCCATGATGACGTCCTTGTAACGTCACTTCAATGTTCATCTATGACACATCCCAGTCTAGGTACAGACCAACTTCCAACCAAATCGGACCAGTAGTTCTGTAGATCTAGGTCTTCAAATCTGCACTTTTAATGTGACGTCACATGTCACGTGATGACGCCATCGTGACGTCACTTCAATTTTCATTCATAACACATCCCGGTTTAGGTACATACCAAGTTTCAACCCAATCGGACTTGCAGTTCTGGAGATATAGGCCTTCAAAATATGTTTTGTTTTATATCACGTCATATGTCACGTGATGACTTCATCATGACGTTAAGTTCATTTTCATCTATAAGACATCCCGGTCTAGGTACATACCAACTTTCAACCCAATCGGACCTGTAGTTCTGGAGATATAGCCCAATCTGTCAGATCTAGCCGAATTCTGCTAGAAAACGGTCACAACAGAAAAATCGCATATAATGTGACGTCACGTGACTCGTGATGACGTCATGATGACGTTGTGAAAATGTCATGTTTTAAATATTAAATCTAATGAATAGCTAATAGTATGCTATACAATGTATATAAAGGTCATAGACCTAGTTTATAAAGGTGATGTGACCTCTCAAAGGCTAACAAAAGTCAGAATATAAGATATCAAAACATCTCATATTTTTTTCAAGGCATGGAGACCTTACATTTAGACTTTGGTAATAAAGAAAAGGCATTTCAAAGAGTAAATCTGATAAATGGCTAGTAACTGTGTATGAAAAGGTCGTTGACCTCTTAAAGGTCACGAAAGGTCGGATTATCTATGCGATGTCCCCAACATCTAAAAATGTTTTTCATGGGATGAAGACTATGCAAGGTTTCATGCTTTTATCAAAAAGTGCACAATTTGGTCTACTAGGTTACCTTTTGCATCAGTGTCCTTATCATAACAATGATAATTAATGAATTGTCATTCTTTTGCTCTTTTCAGTGATGGCCAGAAGCCTTCCGCCATATGCACCAGATTTCATGAACGCCAACCGGGAATATGAGAAACAGTCTTTTCATCCTCATCGAATCGTCATCATCGGATCCGGACCTACAGCTCTGGGTGCCGCTAAAAGACTCTACGATCTCGGGCAAGGAAAAAACAACAGCGTGATCACTATCCTGGAGGAACTAGGCAAACCAGGAGGCCTAGCCTCGTCTGTCAGGGATGATAAAGGCTTTCTCTGGGATGTCGGAGTTCATGTTGTATTCTCCCATTACACCTACTTTGATCGAGTCCTGAACATGGCAGTACCCGAGTGGAACTACCGGCGCCGGGCGTCATTTGCCTTCATGAAAGGATCAGATGACACGAGGAGGTTCATTCCTTATCCAGTTCAGAACAACATTCACGTCATGGATAAAATTGATCAGCAGAAAAGCCTGAAAGGCTTAGAGGAGATTACCAAAAATCCCAGCAGCCGTAAACCCGAAAATTTCGACGAGTGGCTGCTGCAGAAATTTGGAGAGGGTCTCGCTGACGTCTTTATGAGGAAATACAATCGAAAAATCTGGACAGTTGACACCAAAGATATGAACTCAGCCTGGGTTGGAGAGAGGGTTGCCGTACCAGACATTAAAGAGATTAAGACCAAGATTGCAGAGGTGGACAACGGAAAAAGCGCCAAGGATTCCGAATGGGGACCGAACCGTTTCTTTCGTTTCCCAAAATATAATGGGACTGGCGGAATTTGGGAGTCAGTTGCGAGAATGCTTCCAAGCCACTGGTTCAGATTTCACGAAAAGGTAACTGCAATTGATATTGACCGAAAAATCATTACTGTCGTGGCTGGAACTGGCGTGAAGACATCACAATACTCATTAGCATACGATACCCTTATATCGACGGCGCCCTTAGATACTTTTACATCATTATTGCAAAGCCACTATGTTTCCCTAGGCCAGATGCAACAGCTAGCGTCACAGCTAGTGTACACGCACACTCACATCGTAGGCGTCGGCCTCACCGGTCAACTACCAAGGATCCTCGCTGATAAATCGTGGGTGTATTTCCCAGATTCTGATTCTCCTTTCTACCGCGTGACAATGTTCTCCAATTATTCAGATGACCATGTACCAAAACCTGGAACATACTGGTCACTTATGTGCGAAATAGCCGAACCACAGAAAAGGTCTAATCCAGATTATTGGAGTAAGGAAAACCTGTTAAAAGAATCCATTCAAGCCTTAGTCTTGTACGGGTTTATCACTGCTGATATGGTAGTCTCCAAGCACTACCGTCGCTTGGACCACGGATACCCCGTCCCTTCACTTAAAAGGGATACGATCCTTGACACGATACAACCTTGGCTGCAAACCAAAGACATCTACTCCCGTGGACGGTTCGGAGGTTGGAAATACGAGGTTGCCAATCAAGATCATTCCTTCATGCAAGGGGTCGAGGCCGTGGACAAGTTCCTTAGCAACGTTCCGGAGTTAACTTACCCGGATCCGAATCGGGCCAACTCCAAGAAAAACAGGGATCGCACCATACCTTTGGATTATGAATTCGTCATCGCACACTATAAGGAGAATCTTAATTGGATGAAGCCTCACGCCAACCACACCCTCATCTACCATCAAGGGAACGACCTGGGTCCACCATTCCAGTTCTACGGTTGGGAGCGGTTGGAGAACCTTGGACGAGAAGCTCACGCTTATCTTGTTCACATTACCACCTACTACAACCAACTCGCTAACGTCACTGTCTTTGCTCAGGGAGACAATTTGCGAGGAAGATGCTACAAAGATATAACACGGTTTATCGATTCTGCAAAAAAAGGTGTCCCTTGCATTTTAAAGGGATTTGTTCGCTCAACTTGGGACAAACCCATTTTCCGCCGTGGTCATATAGTCAAAGCAAAAGGAACTTTAGGGCAGATGTACCAAGATCTGTACGGTAAGCCACATCCCAAAGGAGTGCGGGAGTGCGGGAACGGCTGTTTTGGGGCTACCAAGCAAATGATCCTAAAACATCCAGTAGAATTTTATCAGAGGGCTCTAACCTATGTGAGCAAATCTTCAAACCCGGAAGAGAGTCATTATTTAGAGATATTGTGGTATCACTTCTTCGAAGCAGTTAATGACAGTGCTGTTAATTGAGTCGGACTTGAGTCGCAATTTTTTTGACTCGAGACTTGACTTGACTTCGGAAAATATAACTTGAGACTTGACTTGAAAAAAAATATGTTTTGTGTTGTTAAAGTCGATTATAAACCTTTCCAATCTATTCGCTGTACTGAGTCTATATGAACGACCTGCATTTTATCAATGCCTCTAATACTAACCCTAAAAGGGTCGGGCTATTTTGACCAGCTCTCAGCCGGGGGGGGGGGGGGGGGTGCATAGAACAACTTATCATGAACATACCCAGAAAAATTCAGGACTATATGCATGAATGGTAATTTTGCTTTGTGTACACTACGTATATGGAGAAATTCAGTTTTCACGGAATGTTTTTATTTTTGTTTGGTATCGTAAGATGGGCAAGGCTCGAGGCTAAAACGTCATAACATCCGGGTTGCGATTTCTTTTTGGTTTTAAAGCTATCGCTAAAGGGCTTGACCCCTAACCTTCCCCCCCCCCCCCCCGATCTGCACCTGCAGGTCTTTTTCTGTTTTAATAGAAATACCCCTGAAATTCCGCTGTCCAGCAATTATCATTTACCGATACGCATGATCGAAAATCCTTCAAATAATTTGAACGAAGCTAACAAAGGAAAACAGACAATCTTCACCGAACATTCCTCTTTTCAGGATCAGTCTTGGCTCAAATTTAATTTCATTTAAATTGGATTGCTCGTGTGTAATCTCTGGTGTTCATTTAGCTGGATCAATTCAGAACATCATTTGACAGCTTTAAAAATGTGTTTCTTTTCTTAAGTGAAACAAAGCATGTACCCATTTCAGGAGTACTTTTTATTCAGATGAGCGAAAGAACATACTTGTACACGTGCTCCATTGAAGTATCCATATTTAATGTATTTTTCATGGGGAAAAAAAATATCCCAGCCACTTTCGTTTTGACTCGCTTTTAGTGAGTGATTGAGATTCAAATCATTAAGCATTATATCAGGAGAAACAACTTAGTTTGAGCAGAACAGAAAGAAATGGAAATCATGTGAAAAAAAATTAAAAATTTTGATATTTAGGTCAAAGGTGGAAAATGGGGTGTCCATAAATTTGGCAAAAATTAGGTTAAGGGTTGCCTAACGTTGGATACTCGAACAAGTTGAAGGAAATTCCCCAATTGAAATTAAAAGATCATGTTGCATACGATTATTATGTCAACATCAAAACGTTTTTTTACCAATAATTTTGGGAGTCCTTGTTCAAGTCTCCAAAGTTAGGCAACCCTTCTCTTACTTTTTAGCCAAATTCACGGACCGGTGGCACAACTTGCCATTGGACAAGACCTGCCTCCAATTAGTTCTTTGTTTGAACATAGTGTCATGACTAAAATGGACAAAATCTTTGGTTATCAAAATCATCCACTTAATGAGCACTACATATTCAGTCGTTCTGACATCAGGTTGCGTGTGCCACGCACGAACCGAGCACGCTTCCGTCAGTCATTTGTACCAAACTCTATCTATGTGTTCAAACCAACTTGTCAAGAGATGGCGCAACCCTTTGTTATAAACATTACTCCTGGCCCTTTGTAAGTGATAACTTAAGCCTCAGTCAGTCAAGAAACTTACGATAAGCAAAAGCAAGCATGCGCGTGGTGATAGTGATGGAAATTATACATGTATTGTATATAATAATAATGAGGAGGAGGAGAGAAAAGGAAGAGGAGAAAAGGAATAAGAATTAGAAATTATGTTGTGTATTGTTTTAGTATATAATAAACGAAAATTATAATGTTAATCGTTCACTTCTATCGGTTATTCACATTGTTAATCAAGTTTTTGTTAGTAAATGTAATTTTGAATATGTACTGCTGGTGGAAGGCAAATTTCCACATGCTTATTGTGGACAATATTTATAATATCACATTGTACTATTCTAAGGCTTTAGGTTTAAATATTATAACTGTGCCAGTAAGCAACTTGGTGAATTTGTTGATTCTACTTACACTTCCTGACTTCAATAACATTTTAAAGCATAATAAATGACAGAATGATGATGAGGACATAGTAACAATTTCAAAATGGCTACTATTAAATCCTAAAGTTTTGCACATTTACCTTGTCTCCAGATATCATCAAGTAGTCTTGCCAAACCTCAATCACAAGAAAGCAGATTGTGAAATGGCGCCAGTTATTCTGAGGCATATCCCTGCGCTTTGTATTTTGTTTGATGTTTGTTTTGAGGGTAAGCACATTTTCATTTATTGTTTCGATGGCATTTTTATTTGGTTTGGTTTATGTATGTATTTTTTTTTACTGGCATGCATGTAATCTTGCTTTGATTATTATCGGTAGTTAAGATCGATTTGCTTTTGCTTGTATAAAGTCTTGGAGTGATTAACATGAATTTTCAGAATAAATATTAGTGCTACTTATTAAGCCGATTCCGTATCTTAGAACATAATTTTGATACTCGTAGGATGCTCTTTTACTACATTTCTTTTTAAATACATTTCACATTAATTGGAAACAGAACAAGCACTTTTTTGAAGTGACGAATGTGCATTTATAAACATCATCGGCTTTCCATTCTACAGTGTTATAGTCATAACTAGTTCATTGTCCAAGTCCTGCAGTCTCACTTCTATGAAAGGTTTTGTGATGTACTCGGCCCTAGCCACTGCCTTTGTATTCATCAGCTGAGGTCTGCAAAAACGAACAGAAGATGCCCCTTGGGATATTTTCGCTGGTACCCACAGACCAATCCAAATGCGTTGCTGACCTCTCATTTAGCTAGGAGATCATCGGACTCATTATTCAAACAGTGACTAAGTTAAATTCCACGAACTGACTGACTGGCTGATCCTTTTCAAAGGTCTTACCTTTCCAGAGAAAAAAAAAACGAGAAAAAAACCACGACAGATACTTTGTTGCGTACGCATACGTATTTTACGGAAGCGTATTTAGGATATGACCGAAAATATTTTTTAGGCTTACTACTTCGCCCGGGCGGATTACTATTTCGCCCGGGCGGATTACTATTTCGCCCTGGCGAATTAGCATTTCGCCCGGGCGGAGTACTATTCTGCCAGGGCGGTTTACTATTGTGGCGTGATGGGGTGGGCCGACACCAGTCTAATTCCCCTTATTTGGTAGTGTTTACTTGTAATTTCTTGGCAAGGAAGTCAGGTCGTGTCAGCGGACAATGTCTCGTGGTTTTGGCGGGAGTGGCTGCCAATCGGAGCGCGCTCGCTGTTGCTGGGCGGGGCGAGGCAGGCCGTGACCGCACTTGCGATCTGTGTTTCCCGTACCCGCGTATGCGTGATTGGTGTTACCGGGCAGAGGTGAAGGGTTGGCGGCCAATCACGGCGTGATTGGGCGTGGCCCCGCTACCCTTGCCGTGGCACTTGAGCGCATGGTCGGCCGGGCGTGAGTCAGTTCAGTTGCGTGAGTTGCGTAAGTTGTTCCTCAGCTCTGTGTATGGAGCGGGTTCAGTAGTAGTGTACGAGTGAAATTGCAATTGTCCGTGACCAAGCTAGTGTTTGCTTTGGCGAGGCCGTGTGTGGTGCAGTGTACCGGTGTTGACGCTGTTTCGGCCTGACTTCTCGTACCGTGGTTGAGCGATTGTACGGAGCGCAGAGCCCCGTGGTGTGACCCAGTTAGCCTGGTAGGACCGAATTGCTTTATTGTGTAATTTAGTGCATGTTTGTGCAATTGTTGCAGTTGAGTGTTTGACTTACAGAGTAGGGTGACTAAGTACAGGCATAAGGATTGTTGTCGTAGGTTCACAGAGACGTGCGATAACATAGAGGGTCGACCCAGAGGTTGACATAGAGGCCTGGGAGGAATAGTCACAGGTAGTCAATAACTGCACTCGGTCAAGTTTATTGTCACACGGGTTTTGTCGCATACTGATCAGCTAAGGCGCTCAAACTTATATAATCATAACAATCCAACGATAATAACCTTATAAATCAAAGAGTTCCCAATCAAGTCAGAATTGTCCGTGATTAAATAAACCAATCATTTCCTTTCCACAAAGAGAATTGTGTATCCCAGTGTCCAATATTTCTGCAGTTCTTCGTCTGTTTGTTCTGTTCTGTACTAGAGTAACAGGGCCTCGTAATCAGTATCCAACTGGGCGGTAGATTTCCACCAAAACGAGCTTGCATCCCTGGGCCTAGAGGCTGCTCGAAAACTTCCCTAGGTTCGAGACAGAAAACATAGTTTGGGGTTAGAGGAACTTTCACCTCAGTCGGTGATTGCCTTCCCTGACCTCTGGTTTCAATTGACCTCGGGAGATTCCGCCACACTATTCCGCATGGGCGGATTACTAATTCGCCCGGGCAGACTACTAATTCGCCAGGGCGGATTAGTAATTCGCCAGAGCGGATTAGTTATCCGTCCGGGCGAAATAGTAATCCGCCCTGGCGAAATAGTAATTTGCCCCGGGCGAATTAGTAATCCGCCCGGGTGAAATAGTAATCCGCCCGGGCGAAATAGAGGGCCGGAAAAATATTTTGGTCATGTCCTAAATACACTTCCGTAGTATATCCATCCGTGTCCATACAATGCCAGTACATGTCGTGTATGTCACATAATACTTACCACAGTGACTGTTTTGGCCGATTTCGGCTAACTTTGACAGATTTATTTTGTTAAAAAAAAAGAGTTTGACAGAACATTTGACAGATTGGATGTTTTTGGCAGATTTCTGGCAGATTTCTGCAAATATGGTTATTTCTCAGAAAGAAATTGCAAATTTGAAAAAAAGAATTGTACGTTTGTTTAAAAAAGCTTCAATCTTTTTAAACAAATCCTTGCAAAGCAGGACAGGTTGCCTGGTCTAGGTGCTGAGGTTCACTGCGAACCCGATGAATTTAATCGTGTCGCAACCACGTTTTGACTGAAATTTACACATTTTCATAACATCTTTATATGACTATAGATTGTTTATAATGTAATTAGAACCTAAATTAAGGTAATATTACAACATCTGCATGTTATTTTTAAGTGTTTATAGTCTATTTCGAGAAATTCTAGGAATCCGGCAGAGTTTTAATAAATCTGACAGATTTTTGAAGTGCATTTAGCAGAATTTGGATTGGACATGCGGTCACCCTTATACACACAACACCAATACACAAATATTGTTTTCCTTAAGTCCACAGAGTGGAGTGGGCTGTGCGGCAGACTTCACAGCTAGCACTCAAAGCTATATTAATTAGAATCAACATTTTCACATATGTTAGCATATTTCTGAAGACATTGCAGATTCCGTATGTGTGCTGGTTTTAAACTGTGCAAAATACCACTGTCTGGCCTTGAACATTTAATCCATAAACGGCCAGTGCATCATTTTTTTTTCTTCTACATTTGAGGTCTGTCATTGATTCTTGATCTTATAAGTATTCATGTTGTGTCAAGTAATACAAATCGATATGTGTATAGGGTGCACTGAACTAATTCAAGTGAGAATTTCTACGCAAGTCATTAGCATAAGAAAGTGCCCCCGGAATTTCTTATGAAAACGGAAACCGTTTGGCTTTAAAAACGGAGGGATTGTGTAAATATACCCAAGGATCAACTCCCTGGTTCCATCTGAGGGCAGGCTTGATAAAATCACGGATGAAAAATGGGTCCCATTTGCCTGTGAAAGTGGAAGGATGCCACTTGTAAAATGGCTACATGCATGCTTGGGAACTATCACTTTTCGGGAGGTGGTTTTATTTGGGTGTGAATATTTTTAAAACTGTAATTGGCTAATGTACCTAAAATTGAAAAGAAATGAAAAGATGAAAGACAAAACAATAATTTAATTTTTGTTTGAGAAAACCCAGTAATGTTGGCTTGCATGTTATTTGGTCCTGAACTTTGTTGATTTTACACTGTTGGTCCTGAACTTTGTTGATTTTACACTGTTTCAATTGGGCTTGAATTAGCTTGAATTCAAATAAGCAAATGCGATATAAAACATGTTAACGGCTATTTCATGTCTGAAGCTTAAAGCGATCCCCGTTACCCTCTGTATACACACTGGCTTCATCTATAACATGTGGGCGAAATTTCACCAATTATAACATGTACTATATTGCTCCGTGTGCAGCAGTAGGATCTAAGATTTCCAAAAGGGTTTGATGTCTAAGAAGTTTCAAGGGGAGGGGGCCGGGGCGGGTTGTTGCAATCACGAAGCGAAAAAAGGGACCAAAAAGTAACTGAGGCAATGGATATCAATTTGCAATATTGGGTGAAGGATTCAGTTAAATTAATGATACTTGGATTCATTTCAGTAACGTAAGTAGACAACATTGGTGGCTCTTGGTGAGGGATACAAGTTACCCCACTGCCTCCCCCAACCCCGCCTAGGGTCCATTCTTACAACGAAGAAGTAATAGCGCCCTCTTTAAAAAGCCTATCATCGCCAAAAAAAAGCTATTTTACCGCCCTCTATCCGTATGTCTGGCTACGAAATTGGAAATAACTTTATTTAGATTCTTTCATTCCAGTTGATTTCAATCCAGTGCACTGCATGATGTCATGCAATATAATGGCTACTCTGCCTGACGTATATACGGTCCCATTACACTTTAACAACAACTTCATCCAAATATTGACAGGTTTTCCCAGTCATTGAAAGTTGACTAAAAATTTAGTTAAACTAGGAAAGTTTCATACTATGACCAGAACAAGTAGTTGGGTTAGACTCCAATTTTAGTTATTTGCATATCTTTATTCTTAAAGTCATTATTACTGACTGATTTTCACTTGCTCCCAACTGACCATGTATGGATAGTAAATTTAACTTTTTCTGTCAAATCTGACCAGCTGCCAACGTGAGTAACAATACGCGATGCATTACAAAAACGTGAACATTCTGAAACTGTTCTCATTCGCTTCGACCCAATAATCCCCGCCCCATGATGCTCTGACCAATCACAGCTTTGGTAAGGTCAGCCAAAAGTCACGCATGCGGTTGAAACATAGGGTGCCACGTTCAGCAATCTCTACTGCGAAGTAAAGTGCCCTACTGCATGCTGTCCAATTTTGGCAAGTTTCCAAAAAAAAAAAAACATGCCTTTGCAATTTGTGGCTCGATTCTTAATCCTATATCAGGAACACGTGTTATTGATAGTCACATTATGAAAACTGTTGTCAGGCGGCAGCGAATGAAATGGCTCCATCGAGCGCGTCGGGCCGCAGGCCTTTGCGGGCCACAAGTTCCATTACAAGAGCTCCCGAAGCCAACAGCGAGTCATATTTTTGTGATTCCCCAACGAAAGCTCGTTACAGGATCCCCGAAACCCACTGGTGGCTCTAAATTTCAAGGGAAGGGATCGGAAAGACACAAAGGGAAAGGATCGGAGAGACACAAACTTTAGCGACCAGTCTCTGAAGGATTCAGGACTCATCGGGAAGTGCTGACAACGCGCCAATACAAGGTATGTACGTGTTTACTTTAGGCAAGATTTCGGGGATAAATTGTGTAATCGATTAATGGTAATTTGATTCACAATAGGGGAACAGTGAATGGGATTTGTTACCGGTATCAGCAGCGCTATTCCCCCCATGTTTAGTGTGCACAAAAGTTGATGAATTGCTAACTGATGTAGGTCTACATTTGTTATCTTGCGACTGGCATGGAATATTTAAGTTGATTAATGAGTTGAATGGTATGGTAACGATGCCGGTGAGGGCATAATGAACCGCCGAGCGCGTGTTTGGTACGTTCTTTCTCTTCTGTCAAAATACGTATTTAGAAAGTCACTTTTGATGATTGTCTCAAAAAAACAAATGACCCCAAAGGAATGACCCTGCTGATGCATATATGAAGTCCCATTGTCCATTCCCTCTTAGTGATCATTCACGGCTGCAATCTTCTTTTAATTTTCCAACAAATTAAAGTTATCTAATACTCCCCGAATCTTGCCTGCACATTTTCGGTCCTTTTCGTTGCTATAAAAATAACAACACACGTCTAATTTAAAAAACATCCATGATTTAAGGCCCCTATACTCCATCCAATCAAACTCTTAACACATTACATAGGGTGCATGTGTATGATTACGCCCCTTATAAACAAAACAAAGTCAAATTTAATAAGAAAGTGGAATTTCTGAATTCCTGAGCTTGTATTTTGAGACTGGGCAGTCAATATACATTGTATCAACCTGATAGAGACGAAATGATTCTTTATTAATACCATCGTTCGTGATGTGACTAGTTTCACATTAGTAGTCATTGTATATTTGATGGATTTCAAAGTGGCACTGAGACCGCATGCCTTAGTGCTGTCTTTTCGTGAGGATTAAAACGATAATGTCTTCAAGGTCAAACAATGGCTTAGCACCGAGAGCCTTCGTTTTAATTCCAATTTTGACTTTGCCTATATGGCCTTGGCCTTGAATGTTAAAGCCTTGGCCTTGACCTGGCGTTGACAGTGAAAGCCTTGGCCTTTGCCTTGGCCTTGAGGGCCAAAGCTCTTGGTGTTGGCCTGGGATGACAGAGCCTTTGCGCAAAATCCGTCAAACTAACGTTCAAGGCGTTTTACAATCAATCAAAAATAACTAAAAGTCTTAAAAACCTTTAAAGAAATACAATGTAGGGTAATTGTTTTGGGGGTTTTTTGGTCACTAAAACAAGACCAACTCATTTCCTCCACTGTGTGAAAAATATATACATCATGGTCGCCCCAAAAATAACTAATAAAATACAAAGGTACAGTTTAATCAATGGACCATTTTTAATAATAAATTCATAATTATGCACGCATGGGCATATTGGACATGGCAGCAAGAAGCAAAGGCGGTACATTGAAAATGTATTAGGGCCCAAATATTTGGGTCATTTTCTTTCAATTTGTCCAAGAATTGGCCCTTTTTTCCATGGAAAAAAAAATTCAATCGTCATAGGCATTACTTTCTGGCCTTTGATTTTTGAAGCACATAATATAAAGTTTAAAAACCGATTTCCTAACCATTGAAAAAAAAAACCAGCGACAACAACAACAAAAACAACAACAACAACAAAAACAAATAACCGTGTGCTTCGGGGTACTCGTTCCCCAAAATTCGGGCCGGATCGCGGTCTGGCTTCACTGCGGCTGATCACAGGCTGATTCTACCACGGCAAAGCCTGGCCGCGATTCAGCACCGCGATCGGGCCCAAAATTTGGTAAGCGGGTACCCCAAAGTACATGGTTATTTTGTTTCCACTTGTGCACAAAGGAGCCCAGTTGATTTCCTTCGCCCTCGTGCGCAAGGGACGGAATCCAATTTTTACAGTTTTTTTCTGTGCCCCCCCCCCCAAAAAAAACCACACACTTAGGCCAGAAAGTAATGCCTAGGTCGATTTAAAGGGTTTTCCAAAGAAAAAAAGCAACAAATCATGGACAAATTATGAGAAAATGACCCGAATATTTGGACCACGGTACAATTTCAATGGACCGATTTCGCTTCTTGCTGCCAGGCCCATTTATGCGCCTGCGTACACACTATTATGAGTTTATTAGCAAAGAGGTCCGTAGACTTGTTCCCCCTTCAGTGAATGTATTACTACGCATGCGCACCTGTTGTAAAACTTGTTGAGCTGCCATGTTGAATTGAATAGGTTTACTTTGCTTTCTCCTTTATTTGCCAGGGAACTTCCCCTCTCCACGGGGGAATATATTCCGTGGGAAATAACTCTGTGCATACAAATCCCTTAACGATGAATAAAGAGCCTTACAAATCACACATCTAGGGTAGTCAATAACAGTTTTAAAAAATGTACATTTCTGCTTAGGAACGTAATCTTGAATAGAAAAGTACAAGCCTAGATGTGTCGGTCATGGCACGCAGTTGACTGCGTTCGTGAACCTACATATAATTCACTCTTTGCCAATTAATATCTCCCTTTTTCTAGTCCGAGGGGGGGGGGGAGCGCGACGTTTCACCCTTTGCATTCTGATTTGCTCAATAAACATTTAATCAACATGTACTGATCGAGCCCCTCATTTCATGTAGAGCATTATGAAATAGAAGCCTGACTTTATGGCAAACTTGCAATGAAACCGAAGTACTTTTTTGTTTCTTTATGCAAATCAAACAAATTACGATTTAAACAGGATCTTCGTCAGAGGCAAATGACGGTGGAACAAGAAACAGAAACAAACATGTGGAACACACAAGCATGCAGGGTTGGGAGGAAAAACCACAGAGAAGGATTTTTTTTTGCTACAGCTATAGTATAGACATAAACAGTTCGTCACAAGCGTGCACAATTATAGCGGGATACCAACGAAACTAAAGACAAGTTCTTGTTTTGAAGTAGATGCGAAAATATGATTGGTTTTTTTTTAGCGGCGCTATGATTTAAGGTGTTTGTATGCTCCATCTTTTGTTCGAACAAAATAAAAACTGGAAGAAAAATTGCAAAATGCGGATTCGGTTACCACGTCCCCCATAGACTTGTTTGAATTCATCTGATTTGTTTATCTCTCGAAACTGGTTGTCAAGCAGATTTCGAACATGCGCAGTTCGCATTGCAAAAAGGCTTATTGCCATTGACCTCAAATAGCAAACTTTATAAATTTAGGGCCCTTTGTGCAAATACTCTATTGTCTTCATACTTTTTAACCGACAGATCTAGGATGTTTTGGCGTTATTTATCAAGTCGCTAATAGCTACCCTGGGATATAAAGAGACAACAATTGTTGCGAGAAGCTGGGGGAAAACCCCATTGGCCCCCTCGTCAAAACTGGTTCCAGGTCGCTAATTTTCTGGTCACTGAATTACTAAGATTACAATACAATACAGTGTGCACAGAATAGTTTTCAAGAGATATTAATTTTCCCTCTCTCGATGTGATTAAACGGTAACCAAAAATTGTACCGGACAGAAAAGCCTGTCAGGTTGTTTTCTGTTTGTATAATTACAGGCATATTAAGTTTTGCATCTTCCTGCATGCTGGAGGAGCGGTTGATCACGCTTCGGTCTTCTATATTAGTTAACACTGAGTGCAAGTCAGGGGATATATGCAAATTTGTATTGTTGATCTCTTTGGACCATGCCACACAATGTTTATGTGGTTTTTTTCCCATTGGCTAATCCGCGTGTTAACTTTTTCCCCCCTAACGCAGAGTTTGTGTTAGCTGAAATTGTTAATTTGTTCACATTGATTTTCTTGACGGTGTTTCTTGACGCCGTGTTTTAGTGACTTTTTGTGAACCCAACAGCTAGAAGAACATAGATATGTAAAATGGCTTTTTCTTTTGGCGTCTCTTTAGATACTAATTCATTTTTTTTTAAAGAAAAATGCCTATTAAGATAACTTATCTACAAAATGAATAAAAAGGGCAATTACACATTCTATTTTTTCGGGGGGTGGGGAGGGATGCGAATTTTTATATTCTATAATTGAAAATGGTTATTTATAATAATAATTATAAATATATCAGCAGCGAAATCACCTGACAAAGTATTCATTTTGTAGATAAGTTATCTTAATAGGCATTTTTCTTTTAAATAAAGAAGTAGTATCTAAAGAGACGCCAAAAGAAATAGCCATTTTACATATCTATGTCCTTCTAACTGTTGGGTTCACAAAAAGTCACTAAAACACGGCGTCAAGAAACACCGCCAAGAAAAACAATGTGAACAAATTAACAATTTCAGCTAACACAAACTCTGCGTAAGGGGGAAAAAAGTTTACACGCGGGTTAGCCAATGGAAAAAAAAAACATAAACATTGTGTGGTATGGTCTAAAGAGATCAACAATAAAAGCTTGCATATATCCCCTGACTTGCTCTCAGTGTTAACTAATATAGAAGACCGAAGCGTGATCAATCGCTCCTCCAGCATGCAGGAAGATGCAAAACTTAATATGCCTGTAATTATACAAACAGAAAACATCCTGACAGGCTTTTCTGTCCGGAGATTTTTTGGTTACCATTTAATCACATCGAGAGAGGGAGATCTAATTAATATCTCTTGAAAAATATTCTGTGCACGCTGTATTGTATTGTATTGTATTGTTATCTTAGTAATTCAGTGACCAGAAAATTAGCGACCTGGAACCAGTTTTGACGAGGGGGCCAATGGGGTTTTCCCCCAGCTTCTCGCAACAATTGCTGTCTATTTATATCCCAGGGTAGCTATTAGCGACTTGATAAATAACGCCTAAACATCCTGGATCTGTCGGTTAAAAAGTATGAAGACAATAGAGTATTTGCACAAAGGGCCCTAAATTTATAAAGTTTGCTATTTGAGGTCTATGGCAACAAGCCGTTTTGCAATGCGAACTGCGCATGTTCGAAATCTGCTTGACAACCAGTTTCGAGAGATAAACAAATCAGATGAATTCAACAAGTCTATGGGGGACGTGGTAACCGAATCCGCATTTTGCAATTTTTCTTCCAGTTTTTATTTTGTTCGAACAAAAGATGGAGCATACAAACACCTTAAATCATAGCGCCGCTAAAAAAAAAACAATCATATTTTCGCATCTACTTCAAAACAAGAACTTGTCTTTAGTTTCGTTGGTATCCCGCTATAATTGTGCACGCTTGTGACGAACTGTTTATGTCTATACTATAGCTGTAGCAAAAAAATAAAAATCCTTCTTTGTGGTTTTTCCTCCCAACCCTGCATGCTTGTGTGTCCCACATGTTTGTTTCTGTTTCTTGTGCCACTGTCATTTGCCTCTGACGGAGATCCTGTTTAAATCGTAATTTGTTTGATTTGCATAAAGAAAAAAAAGTACTTCGGTTTCATTACAAGTTTGCCATAAAGTCAGGCTTCCATTTCATAATGCCCTACATGAAATGAGGGGCTCCATCAGTACAAGTTGATTAAATGTTTATTGAGCGAATCAGAATGCAAAGGGTGAAACGTCGCACTCCTCCCCTCCCCCCCCCGGACTAGAAAAAGGGAGATATTAATTGGCAAATATTCCCTGGCAAATAAAGGAGAAAGTAAAGTAAACCTATTCAATTCAACATGGCAGCTCAACAAGTTTTACAACAGGTGCGCATGCGTAGTAATACATTCACTGAAGGGGGAACAAGTCTACGGACCTCTTTGCTAATGAACTCATAATAGTGTGTACGCAGGCGCATAAATGGGCCTGGCAGCAAGAAGCGAAATCGGTCCATTGAAATTGTACCGTGGTCCAAATATTCAGGTCATTTTCTCATAATTTGTCCATGATTTGTTGCTTTTTTCTATGGAAAACCCTTTAAATCGACCTAGGCATTACTTTCTGGCCTAAGTGTGTAAGGTTTTTTTTTTGGGGGGGGGGGGCACAGAATAAAAACTGTAAAAATTGGATTCCGTCCCTTGCGCACGAGGGCGAAGGAAATCAACTGGGCTCCTTTGTGCACCAGTGGAAACAAAATAACCATGTACTTTGGGGTACCCGCTAACCAAATTTTGGGCCCGATCGCGGTGCTGAATCGCGGCCAGGCTTTGCCGTGGTAGAATCAGCCTGTGATCAGCTGCAGTGAAGCCAGACCGCGATCCGGCCCGAAATTTGGAAACGAGTACCCCGAAGCACACGGTTATATGTTGTAGTTGTTGTTTTTGTTGTTGTTGTTGTTGTTGGTGGGTTTTTTTCTTCCGGCTGTCCCCGAAAATTGACCAAACGTATGGTGTTCCATATTTTGTGCCATCTGCATTTTTTTCGGCGTCGCATTTATAAGCTCTGGCAGGGATCATTTTGATCGATTAAATGCAATACTTTTATACAAGACCTCTTCCAACAGGGCAGGAGCGTATTGTGCACTCGCACTTTTTTTTGTTTTTTTTGTTGTCATTTTGAAATATGTTGAGCTCTTTGCACATAGCGCCCTCACCGATGACACGTCCTCTTTGAGACATTTTGTAGTTTTACTGCCACTGAATTCAAATATAAAACCCTGAATGACCATCTTGAGAGCGTTCTGTGCAACGTGTCTATTGCCTTCATGCTATATTAGACATTTTAACGAACAGCCCCCAGATGTTTTGACGTTACCTGGTAACTATTGTTCAGGTTACTAGCTCCTACCCTGGCAATAACAATAGAGTTTCATTGCTGCGGGAGCTGAGGGAAACCCCTCTAAGCCCCCACGGTACAACCTTTTCTAGGTCACGTATTTTGCGGTCTCTGATTTTTTTTTTTTTTTTTGCGCATTACATTACAACACCTCGTTTACGAAAAATGTTTTTTAGGAAAAAATTGGCTGACCAGCTGCCAACGTGAGTAACAATACGCGATGCATTACAAAAACGTGAACAATCTGAAACTGTTCTCATTCGCTTCGGCCCAATAATCCCCGCCCCATGATGCTCTGACCAATCACAGCTTTGGTAAGGTCAGCCAAAAGTCACGCATGCGGTTGAAACATAGGGTGCCACGTACAGCAATCTCTACTGCGAAGTAAAGTGCTCTACTGCATGCTGTCCAATTTTGGCAAGTCTCCAACAAAAAACAACAAAAAAACTATGCCTTTGCAATTTGTGGCTCGATTCTAAATCCCATATCAGGAACACGTGTTATTGATAGTCAAATTATGAAAACTGTTGTCAGGCGGCAGCGAATGAAATGGCTCCATCGTTAAGGGATTTGTATGCACAGAGTTATTTCCCACGGAATATATTCCCCCGTGGAGAGGGGAAATTCCCTGGCAAATAAAGGAGAAAGCAAAGTAAACCTATTCAATTCAACATGGCCCCATGATGCTCTGACCAATCACAGCTTTGGTAAGGTCAGCCAAAAGTCACGCATGCGGTTGAAACATAGGGTGCCACGTACAGCAATCTCTACTGCGAAGTAAAGTGCTCTACTGCATGCTGTCCAATTTTGGCAAGTCTCCAACAAAAAACAACAAAAAAACCATGCCTTTGCAATTTGTGGCTCGATTCTAAATCCCATATCAGGAACACGTGTTATTGATAGTCAAATTATGAAAACTGTTGTCAGGCGGCAGCGAATGAAATGGCTCCATCGAGTGCGTCGGGCCGCAGGCCTTTGCGGGCCACAAGTTCCATTACAAGAGCTCCCGAAGCCATCAGCGAGTCATATTTTTTGTGATTCCCCAGACGAAAGCTCGTCACAGGTGCATGGGATCCCCGTTACCCACCGGTGGCTCTAAATTTCAAGGGAAAGGATCGGAAAGACACAAAGGGAAAGGATCGGAGAGACACAAACTTTAGCAACCAGTCTCTGAAGGATTCGGGACTCATTGGGAAGTGCTGACAACGCGCCAATACAAGGTATGTACGTGTTTACTTTAGGCAAGATTTCGGGGATAAATTGTGTAATCGATTAATGGTAATTTGATTCACAATAGGGGAACAGTGAATGGGATTTGTTACCGGTATCAGCAGCGCTATTCCCCCCATGTTTAGTGTGCACAAAAGTTGATGAATTGCTAACTGATGTAGGTCTACATTTGTTATCTTGCGACTGGCATGGAATATTTAAGTTGATTAATGAGTTGAATGGTATGGTAACGATGCCGGTGAGGGCATAATGAACCGCCGAGCGCGTGTTTGGTACGTTCTTTCTCTTCTGTCAAAATACGTATTTAGAAAGTCACTTTTGATGATTGTCTCAAAAAAACGAATGACCCCAAAGGAATGACCCTGCTGATGCATATATGAAGTCCCATTGTCCATTCCCTCTTAGTGATCATTCACGGCTGCAATCTTCTTTTAATTTTCCAACAAATTAAAGTTATCTAATACTCCCCGAATCTTGCCTGCACATTTTCGGTCCTTCGTTGCTATAAAAATAACAACACACGTCTAATTTAAAAAAACATCTATGATTTAAGGCCCCTATACTCCATCCAATCAAACTCTTAACACATTACATAGGGTGCATGTATATGATTACGCCCCTTATAAAAAAAAACAAAGTCAAAATTAATAAGAAAGTGTAATTTCTGAATTCCTGAACTTGTATTTTGAAACTGTGCAGTCAATATACATTGTATCAACCTGATAGAGACGAAATGATTCTTTATTAATACCATCGATTCGTGATGTTGTGACTAGTTTCACATTAGTAGTCATTGTATATTTGATGGATTTCAAAGTGGCACTGAGACCGCATGCCTTAGTGCTGTCTTTTCGTGAGGATTAACACGATAATGTCTTCAAGGTCAAACAATGGCTTAGCACCGAGAGCCTTCGTTTTAATTCCAATTTTGACTTTGCCTATATGGCCTTGGCCTTGAATGTTAAAGCCTTGGCCTTGACCTGGCGTTGACAGTGAAAGCCTTGGCCTTTGCCTTGGCCTTGAGGGCCAAAGCTCTTGGTGTTGGCCTGGGATGACAGAGCCTTTGCGCAAAATCCGTCAAACTATAACGTTCAAGGCGTTTTACAATCAATCGAAAATAACTAAAAGTCTTAAAAACCTTTAAAGAAATACAATGTAGGGTAATTGTTTTGGGTTTTTTTTGGTCACTAAAACAAGACCAACTCATTTCCTCCACTGTGTGAAAAAAATATACATCATGGTCGCCCCAAAAATAACTAATAAAATACAAAGGTACAGTTTAATCAATGGACCTTTTTTAATAATAAATTCATAATTATGCACGCATGGGCATATTGGACATGGCAGCAAGAAGCAAAAGCGGTACATTGAAAATGTATTAGGGCCCAAATATTTGGGTCATTTTCTTTCAATTTGTCCAAGAATTGGCCCTTTTTTCCATGGAAAAAAAAAATCAATCGTCATAGGCATTACTTCCTGGCCTTTGATTTTTGGGGCACATAATATAAAGTTTAAAAACCGATTTCCTAACCATTGAAAAAAAAAACCAGCGACATCAACAACAAAAACAACAACAACAACAAAAACAAATAACCGTGTGCTTCGGGGTACTCGTTCCCCAAAATTCGGGCCGGATCGCGGTCTGGCTTCACTGCGGCTGATCACAGGCTGATTCTACCACGGCAAAGCCTGGCCGCGATTCAGCACCGCGATCGGGCCCAAAATTTGGTTAGCGGGTACCCCAAAGTACATGGTTATTTTGTTTCCACTGGTGCACAAAGGAGCCCAGTTGATTTCCTTCGCCCTCGTGCGCAAGGGACGGAATCCAATTTTTACATTTTTTTTCTGTGCCCCCCCCCCCCAAAAAACACACTTAGGCCAGAAAGTAATGCCTAGGTCGATTTAAAGGGTTTTCCATAGAAAAAAAAGCAACAAATCATGGACAAATTATGAGAAAATGACCCGAATATTTGGACCACGGTACAATTTCAATGGACCGATTTCGCTTGTTGCTGCCAGGCCCATTTATGCGCCTGCGTACACACTATTATGAGTTTATTAGCAAAGAGGTCCGTAGACTTGTTCCCCCTTCAGTGAATGTATTACTACGCATGCGCACCTGTTGTAAAACTTGTTGAGCTGCCATGTTGAATTGAATAGGTTTACTTTGCTTTCTCCTTTATTTGCCAGGGAATTTCCCCTCTCCACGGGGGAATATATTCCGTGGGAAATAACTCTGTGCATACAAATCCCTTAACGATGAATAAAGAGCCTTACAAATCACACATCTAGGGTAGTCAATAATAGTTTTTAAAAATGTACATTTCTGCTTAGGAACGTAATCTTGAATAGAAAAGTACAAGCCTAGATGTGTCGGTCATGGCACGCAGTTGACTGTGTTCTTGAACCTACATATAATTCACTCTTTGCCAATTAATATCTCCCTTTTTCTAGTCCGGGGGGGGGGGAGCGCGACGTTTCACCCTTTGCATTCTGATTCGCTCAATAAACATTTAATCAACTTGTACGTATCGAGCCCCTCATTTCATGTAGAGCATTATGAAATAGAAGCCTGACTTTATGGCAAACTTGTAATGAAACCGAAGTACTTTTTTTTTTCTTTATGCAAATCAAACAAATTACGATTTAAACAGGATCTTCGTCAGAGGCAAATGACAGTGGAACAAGAAACAGAAAAAAAACATGTGGGACACACAAGCATGCAGGGTTGGGAGGGAAAAAAACAAAGAAGGATTGTTGTTGTTCAGTTTTTTTTTTGCTACAGCTATAGTATAGACATAAACAGTTCGTCACAAGCGTGCAAAATTATAGCGGGATACCAACAACACTAAAGACAAGTTCTTGTTTTGAAGTAGATGCGAAAATGTGATTGTTTTTTGTTAGCGGCGCTATAACTTAAGGTGTTTTGTATGCTCAAACTTTTGTTCGAACAAAATAAAAACTGGAAGAAAAATTGCAAAATGCGGATTCGGTTACCACGTCCTTCATAGACTTGTTTGAATTCATCTGAGTGATTTGTTTATCTCTCGAAACTGGTTGTCAGGCAGATTTCGAACATGCGCAGTTCGCATTGCAAAACGGCTTATTGCCATTGACCTCAAATAGCAAACTTTATAAATTTAGGGCCCTTTGTGCAAATACTCTATTGTCTTCATACTTTTTAACCGACAGATCTAGGATGTTTTGGCGTTATTTATCAAGTCGCTAATAGCTACCCTGGGATATAAAGAGACAACAATTGTTGCGAGAAGCTGGGGGAAAACCCCATTGGCCCCCTCGTCAAAACTGGTTCCAGGTCGCTAATTTTCTGGTCACTGAATTACTAAGATTACAATACAATACAGCGTGCACAGAATATTTTTCAAGAGATATTAATTCTCCCTCTCTCGATGTGATTAAACGGTAACCAAAAAATCTCCGGACAGAAAAGCCTGTCAGGTTGTTTTCTGTTTGTATAATTACAGGCATATTAAGTTGTGCATATTCCTGCATGCTGGAGGAGCGATTGATCACGCTTCGGTCTTCTATATTAGTTAACACTGAGTGCAAGTCAGGGGATATATGCAAGCTTTTATTGTTGATCTCTTTAGACCATGCCACAAAATGTTTATGTGTTTTTTTTCCATTGGCTAACCCGCGTGTAAACTTTTTCCCCCCTAACGCAGAGTTTGTGTTAGCTGAAATTGTTAATTTGTTCACATTGATTTTCTTGACGCCGTGTTTTAGTGACTTTTTGTGAACCCAACAGTTAGAAGAACATAGATATGTAAAATGGCTTTTTCTTTTGGCGTCTCTTTAGATACTAATTCATTTTTTTAAAGAAAAATGCCTATTAAGATAACCTATCTACAAAATGAATAAAAAGGGCAATGACACATTCTATTTTTTCGGGGGTGGGGAGGGATGCGAATTTTTATATTCTATTCTATAATTGAAAATGGTTATTTATAATAATAATTATAAATATATCAGCAGCGAAATCACCTGACAAAGCATTCATTTTGTAGATAAGTTATCTTAATAAGCATTTTTCTTTTAAATAAATGAAGTAGTATCTAAAGAGACGCCAAAAGAAAAAGCCATTTTACATATCTATGTTCTTCTAACTGTTGGGTTCACAAAAAGTCACTAAAACACGGCGTCAAGAAACACCGCCAAGAAAAACAATGTGAACAAATTAACAATTTCAGCTAACACAAACTCTGCGTAAGGGGAAAAAGTTTGCACGCGGGTTAGCCAATGGAAAAAAACACATAAACATTGTGTGGCATGGTCTAAAGAGATCAACAATAAAAGCTTGCATATATCCCCTGACTTGCACTCAGTGTTAACTAATATAGAAGACCGAAGCGTGATCAATCGCTCCTCCAGCATGCAGGAAGATGCAAAACTTAGTATGCCTGTAATTATACAAACAGAAAACAACCTGACAGGCTTTTCTGTCCGGCACATTTTTTGGTTACCGTTTAATCACATCGAGAGAGGGAGAATTAATATCTCTTAAAAAATATTCTGTGCACGCTGTATTGTATTGTATTGTAATCTTAGTAATTCAGTGACCAGAAAATTAGCGACCTGGAACCAGTTTTGACGAGGGGGCCAATGGGGTTTTCCCCCAGCTTGTCGCAACAATTGTTGTCTTATTATATCCCAGGGTAGCTATTAGCGACTTGATAAATAACGCCAAAACATCCTGGATCTTTCGGTTAAAAAGTATGAAGACAATAGAGTATTTGCACAAAGGGCCCTAAATTTATAAAGTTTGCTATTTGAGGTCTATGGCAACAAGCCGTTTTGCAATGCGAACTGCGCATGTTCGAAATCTGCTTGACAACCAGTTTCGAGAGATAAACAAATCAGATGAATTCAACAAGTCTATGGGGGACGTGGTAACCGAATCCGCATTTTGAAATTTTTCTTCCAGTTTTTATTTTGTTCGAACAAAAGTTGGAGCATACAAAACACCTTAAATCATTGCGCCGCAAAAAAAAAACAATCATATTTTCGCATCTACTTCAAAACAAGAACTTGTCTTTAGTTTCGTTGGTATCCCGCTATAATTGTGCACGCTTGTGACGAACTGTTTATGTCTATACTATAGCTGTAGCAAAAAAAAAATCCTTCTTTGTGGTTTTTCCTCCCAACCCTGCATGCTTGTGTTTCTGTTTCTTGTGCCACTGTCATTTGCCTCTGACGAAGATCCTGTTTAAATCGTAATTTGTTTGACTGGCATAAAGAAAAAACAGTACTTCGGTTTCATTACAAGTTTGCCATAAAGTCAGGCTTCCATTTCATAATGCCCTACATGAAATGAGGGGCTCCATCAGTACAAGTTGATTAAATGTTTATTGAGCGAATCAGAATGCAAAGGGTGAAACGTCGCGCTCCCCCCCCCCCCCGGACTAGAAAAAGGGAGATATTAATTGGCAATGAGTGAATCATATGTAGTTCAAGAACACAGTCAACTGCGTGCCATGACCGACACATCTAGGCTTGTATTTTTCTAGTCAAGATTACGTTCCTAAGCAGAAATGTACATTTTTTCAAACTATTATTGACTACCCTAGATGTGTGATTTGTAAGGCTCTCTATTCATCGTTAAGGGATTTGTATGCACAGAGTTATTTCCCACGGAATATATTCCCCCGTGGAGAGGGGAAATTCCCTGGCAAATAAAGGAGAAAGCAAAGTAAACCTATTCAATTCAACATGGCAGCTCAACAAGTTTTACAAAAAGGTGCGCATGCGTAGTAATACATTCACTGAAGGGGGAACAAGTCTACGGACCTCTTTGCTAATAAACTCATAATAGTGTGTACGCAGGCGCATAAATGGGCCTGGCAGCAAGAAGCGAAATCGGTCCATTGAAATTGTACCGTGGTCCAAATATTCAGGTCATGTTCTCATAATTTGTCCATGATTTGTTGCTTTTTTCTATGGAAAACCCCTGAAATCGACCTAGGCATTACTTTCTGGCCTAAGTGTGTGGGGTTTTTTTTTTGGGGGGGGGGGGGGCACAGAATAAAAACTGTAAAAATTGGATTCCGTCCCTTGCGCACGAGGGCGAAGGAAATCAACTGGGCTCCTTTGTGCACCAGTGGAAACAAAATAACCATGTACTTTGGGGTACCCGCTAACCAAATTTTGGGCCCGATCGCGGTGCTGAATCGCGGCCAGGCTTTGCCGTGGTAGAATCAGCCTGTGATCAGCTGCAGTGAAGCCAGACCGCGATCCGGCCCGAAATTTTGGAAACGAGTACCCCGAAGCATTATGTTGTAGTTGTTGTTTTTGTTGTTGTTGTTGTTGTTGCTGGTTTTTTTCTTCCGGCTGTCCCCGAAAATTGACCAAACGTATGGTGTTCCATATTTTGTGCCATCCGCATTTTTTTCGGCGTCGCATTTATAAGCTCTGGCAGGGATCATTTTGATCGATTAAATGCAATACTTTTATACAAGACCTCTTCCAACAGGGCAAGAGCGTATTGTGCACTCGCACTTTTTTTGTTTTTTTTGTTGTCATTTTGAAATATGTTGAGCTCTTTGCACATAGCGCCCTCACCGATGACACGTCCTCTTTGAGACATTTTGTAGTTTTACTGCCACTGAATTCAAATATAAAACCCTGAATGACCATCTTGAGAGCGTTCTGTGCAACGTGTCTATTGCCTTCATGCTATATTAGACATTTTAACGAACAGCCCCCAGATGTTTTGACGTTACCTGGTAACTATTGTTCAAGTTACTAGCTCCTACCCTGGCAATAACAATAGAGTTTCATTGCTGCGGGAGCTGAGGGAAACCCCTCTAAGCCCCCACGGTACAACCTTTTCTAGGTCACGTATTTTTCGGTCTCTGATTTTTTTTTTTTTTTTTTGCACATTACATTACAACACCTCGTTTACGAAAAATGTTTTTTAGGAAAAAATTGGCTGACCAGCTGCCAACGTGAGTAACAATACGCGATGCATTACAAAAACGTGAACATTCTGAAACTGTTCTCATTCGCTTCGACCCAATAATCCCCGCCCCATGATGCTCTGACCAATCACAGCTTTGGTAAGGTCAGCCAAAAGTCACGCATGCGGTTGAAACATAGGGTGCCACGTTCAGCAATCTCTGCTGCGAAGTAAAGTGCCCTACTGCATGCTGTCCAATTTTGGCAAGTCTCCAACAAAAAACAACAAAAAAACCATGCCTTTGCAATTTGTGGCTCGATTCTAAATCCCATATCAGGAACACGTGTTATTGATAGTCAAATTATGAAAACTGTTGTCAGGCGGCAGCGAATGAAATGGCTCCATCGAGTGCGTCGGGCCGCAGGCCTTTGCGGGCCACAAGTTCCATTACAAGAGCTCCCGAAGCCATCAGCGAGTCATATTTTTTGTGATTTCCCAGACGAAAGCTCGTCACAGGTGCATGGGATCCCCGTAACCCACTGGTGGCTCTAAATTTCAAGGGAAAGGATCGGAAAGACACAAAGGGAAAGGATCGGAGAGACACTAACTTTAGCAACCAGTCTCTGAAGGATTCGGGACTCATTGGAAAGTGCTGACAACGCGCCAATACAAGGTACGTACGTGTTTACTTTAGGCAAGATTTCGGGGGTACATTGTGTAATCGATTAATGGTAATTTGATTCACAATAGGGGAACACTGAATGGGATTTGTTACCGGTATCAGCAGCGCTATTCCCCCCATGTTTAGTGTGCACAAAAGTTGATGAATTGCTAACTGATGTAGGTCTACATTTTTTATCTTGCGACTGGCATGGAATATTGAAGTTGATTAATGAGTTGAATGGTATGGTAACGATGCCGGTGTGGGCATAATGAACCGCCGAGCGCGTATTTGGTACGTTCTTTCTCTTCTGTCAAAATACGTATTTAGAAAGTCACTTTTGATGATTGTCTCAAAAAAACGAATGACCCCAAAGGAATGACCCTGCTGATGCATATGGGTCATTCCATGTCAGACCAACGCACTTTTTTACCTCATGTCTTCTGATTTTGATAAAAATTGCTGTGCTTGTAGGTCCTAATGAGCAATGAATACACACCAATTTTTAGCCCGATCCGACCTATTATGTGGTCAGGGCAGAAGCCACAAAAAAATGGCATTTTTAGAGTAAAATACCACCCTTTTGGTATAAATATGTCAAAACTATGGCAATTTTCATCGAATATATGTGAATTTGGTATTAAAATAATGAGGATTGCATGCTCAAAGCACTTCTTTTGTCAAAATTAAACTTTGTGAAAATTAGGTCACGTGACCTTTAATATGCTATCGTGACCTTTGACCCACTTTTTGTAATAATGTATCATTCCGAAAATCAACGAAATAAAAAAAACTTGCTAGAGCATGTCTTCCTCTATCAGAATCTACTAAAAATCAGATGGGGTCTTCAAAATTTACAACTTTATGACTATTTTTGTACAGTTGGTAGGTTACAAATGAGTCAATTTATAGACTTTACATAAGAAATACACCAACACAACTTACTATTCTGTTTCTAAAGTTACTAAAATATATCTTGGTTTGTGAATTTCTCATTCTGAGGGCTGATGAGGTCTAACCAGACTCATAGTGTAAATTATCAGAAGTGGCGCACCCAGGATTTGGCTTTTGGTGGGGGGGGGGGTCATAAATCGTTTTTTGTTCAAATTTCTGTAAAAGATTGGACCGACAAAAACTAGCCTAAAATCAAACAAACAAATTGACAATGTTGGGGTTGGGTTCAAGCCCCCCCCCCCCCTCCTGGGTGCCACTGATAATTAGTTATCCCACGAGCGCGCTTGGAATATGAAATAATGCAATGCTGCTGTGACCCATATGCCACTCGATGCACTACATAATTCCGTGTTCCACGAGCGCAAGTGGGATTTATAACCAATTTATCTTCAACCAACTTGATATCAAATGCGTACACGCGGTGAAGATGTACGTGCATACATGTAGTGTATTGGTCCGTTCAGCAGGAAATAACACAACATATGTACACGTACATTTTTAATATCTGGGGTGCAATATAGCTGTGCAATATTATATAAAATCACACAGTTGTTGCTATAGATGGACTAATCAGGGTCTAGGATTCAAGTTTGCTTGAAGATAATACTTAATATTACAATCAAAGTTACCTTTACTCATTCATCACTGTGCTTCTTGAACTTTAATGACTCTCACAGACTTGGCATTTTGTTCCTATGAGATGAATTTCACCTGGACGTGAGTCCGCTGTACTGGGTGAAGGCCTGGTTACTGTTAGTGGTTAGCACACTTCCGAGTCCAGATATTCTGATTAGACAGTTTCTTTGGAATCAGAAGGTAGAATTTTGTTTTTCCTGGCTTTGTACTTTATACATAAAAATCTAGATTAATTTTAGTATTTTAAGAAACAGAATAGTAAGTTGTGTTGGTGTATTTCTTATGTAAAGTCTATAAATTGACTCATTTGTAACCTACCAACTGTACAAAAGTAGTCATAAAGTTGTAAATTTTGAAGACCCCAATTGATTTTTGGTAGTTTCTGATAGAGGAAGACATGCTCTAGCAAGTTATTTTTATTTCGTTGATTTTCGGAATGATACATTATTACAAAAAGTGGGTCAAAGGTCACAATAGCATATTAAAGGTCACGTGACCTACTTTTCACAAAATTTAATTTTGACAAAAGAAGTGCTTTGAGCATGCAATCCTCATTATTTTAATACCAAATTCACATATATTCGATGAAAATTGCCATAGTTTTGACATATTTATACCAAAAGGGTGGTATTTTACTCTAAAAATGCCATTTTTGTGTGGCTTCTGCCCTGATCACATAATAGGTCGGATCGGGCTAAAAATTGGTGTGTATTCATTGCTCATTAGGACCTACAAGCACAGCAATTTTTATTAAAATCAGAAGACATGAGGTAAAAAAGTGCGTTGGTCTGACATGGAATGACCCATATATGAAGTCCCATTGTCCATTCCCTCTTAGTGATCATTCACGGCTGCAATCTTCTTTTAATTTTCCAACAAATTAAAGTTATCTAATACTCCCCGAATCTTGCCTGCACATTTTCGGTCCTTCGTTGCTATAAAAATAACAACACACGTCTAATTTAAAAAAACATCTATGATTTAAGGCCCCTATACTCCATCCAATCAAACTCTTAACACATTACATAGGGTGCATGTATATGATTACGCCCCTTATAAAAAAAATTTAAAAATTTAAATAAAGTCAAATTTAATAAGAAAGTGTAATTTCTGAATTCCTGAACTTGTATTTTGAGACTGGGCAGTCAATATACATTGTATCAACCTGATAGAGACGAAATGATTCTTTATTAATACCATCGATTCGTGATGTTGTGACTAGTTTCACATTAGTAGTCATTGTATATTTGATGGATTTCAAAGTGGCACTGAGACCGCATGCCTTAGTGCTGTCTTTTCGTGAGGATTAACACGATAATGTCTTCAAGGTCAAACAATGGCTTAGCACCGAGAGCCTTCGTTTTAATTCCAATTTTGACTTTGCCTATATGGCCTTGGCCTTGAATGTTAAAGCCTTGGCCTTGACCTGGCGTTGACAGTGAAAGCCTTGGCCTTTGCCTTGGCCTTGAGGGCCAAAGCTCTTGGTGTTGGCCTGGGATGACAGAGCCTTTGCGCAAAATCCGTCAAACTAACGTTCAAGGCGTTTTACAATCAATCAAAAATAACTAAAAGTCTTAAAAACCTTTAAAGAAATACAATGTAGGGTAATTGTTTTGGGGGTTTTTTGGTCACTAAAACAAGACCAACTCATTTCCTACACTGTGTGAAAAATATATACATCATGGTCGCCCCAAAAATAACTAATAAAATACAAAGGTACAGTTTAATCAATGGACCATTTTTAATAATAAATTCATAATTATGCACGCATGGGCATATTGGACATGGCAGCAAGAAGCAAAAGCGGTACATTGAAAATGTATTAGGGCCCAAATATTTGGGTCATTTTCTTTCAATTTGTCCAAGAATTGGCCCTTTTTTCCATGGAAAAAAAAATTCAATCGTCATAGGCATTACTTTCTGGCCTTTGATTTTTGAAGCACATAATGTAAAGTTTAAAAACCGATTTCCTAACCATTGAAAAAAAAAACCAGCGACATCAACAACAAAAACAACAACAACAACAAAAACAAATAACCGTGTGCTTCGGGGTACTCGTTCCCCAAAATTCGGGCCGGATCGCGGTCTGGCTTCACTGCGGCTGATCACAGGCTGATTCTACCACGGCAAAGCCTGGCCGCGATTCAGCACCGCGATCGGGCCCAAAATTTGGTTAGCGGGTACCCCAAAGTACATGGTTATTTTGTTTCCACTGGTGCACAAAGGAGCCCAGTTGATTTCCTTCGCCCTCGTGCGCAAGGGACGGAATCCAATTTTTACATTTTTTTTCTGTGCCCCCCCCCCAAAAAAAAACACACTTAGGCCAGAAAGTAATGCCTAGGTCGATTTAAAGGGTTTTCCATAGAAAAAAAGCAACAAATCATGGACAAATTATGAGAAAATGACCCGAATATTTGGACCACGGTACAATTTCAATGGACCGATTTCGCTTCTTGCTGCCAGGCCCATTTATGCGCCTGCGTACACACTATTATGAGTTTATTAGCAAAGAGGTCCGTAGACTTGTTCCCCCTTCAGTGAATGTATTACTACGCATGCGCACCTGTTGTAAAACTTGTTGAGCTGCCATGTTGAATTGAATAGGTTTACTTTGCTTTCTCCTTTATTTGCCAGGGAATTTCCCCTCTCCACGGGGGAATATATTCCGTGGGAAATAACTCTGTGCATACAAATCCCTTAACGATGAATAAAGAGCCTTACAAATCACACATCTAGGGTAGTCAATAATAGTTTTTAAAAATGTACATTTCTGCTTAGGAACGTAATCTTGAATAGAAAAGTACAAGCCTAGATGTGTCGGTCATGGCACGCAGTTGACTGTGTTCTTGAACCTACATATAATTCACTCTTTGCCAATTAATATCTCCCTTTTTCTAGTCCGGGGGGGGGGGGAGCGCGACGTTTCACCCTTTGCATTCTGATTCGCTCAATAAACATTTAATCAACTTGTACGTATCGAGCCCCTCATTTCATGTAGAGCAGTATGAAATAGAAGCCTGACTGTATGGCAAACTTGTAATGAAACCGAAGTACTTTTTTTTTTCTTTATGCAAATCAAACAAATTACGATTTAAACAGGATCTTCGTCAGAGGCAAATGACAGTGGAACAAGAAACAGAAAAAAAACATGTGGGACACACAAGCATGCAGGGTTGGGAGGGAAAAAAACAAAGAAGGATTGTTGTTGTTCAGTTTTTTTTGCTACAGCTATAGTATAGACATAAACAGTTCGTCACAAGCGTGCAAAATTATAGCGGGATACCAACAACACTAAAGACAAGTTCTTGTTTTGAAGTAGATGCGAAAATGTGATTGTTTTTTGTTAGCGGCGCTATAACTTAAGGTGTTTTGTATGCTCAAACTTTTGTTCGAACAAAATAAAAACTGGAAGAAAAATTGCAAAATGCGGATTCGGTTACCACGTCCTTCATAGACTTGTTTGAATTTATCTGAGTGATTTGTTTATCTCTCGAAACTGGTTGTCAGGCAGATTTCGAACATGCGCAGTTCGCATTGCAAAACGGCTTATTGCCATTGACCTCAAATAGCAAACTTTATTAATTTAGGGCCCTTTGTGCGAATACTCTATTGTCTTCATACTTTTTAACCGACAGATCCAGGATGTTTTGGCGTTATTTATCAAGTCGCTAATAGCTACCCTGGGATATAAAGAGACAACAATTGTTGCGAGAAGCTGGGGGAAAACCCCATTGGCCCCCTCGTCAAAACTGGTTCCAGGTCGCTAATTTTCTGGTCACTGAATTACTAAGATTACAATACAATACAGCGTGCACAGAATATTTTTCAAGAGATATTAATTCTCCCTCTCTCGATTTGATTAAACGGTAACCAAAAAATCTCCGGACAGAAAAGCCTGTCAGGTTGTTTTCTGTTTGTATAATTACAGGCATATTAAGTTGTGCATATTCCTGCATGCTGGAGGAGCGATTGATCACGCTTCGGTCTTCTATATTAGTTAACACTGAGTGCAAGTCAGGGGATATATGCAAGCTTTTATTGTTGATCTCTTTAGACCATGCCACACAATGTTTGTGTTTTTGTTCCATTGGCTAACCCGCGTGTAAACTTTTTCCCCCCTAACGCAGAGTTTGTGTTAGCTGAAATTGTTAATTTGTTCACATTGATTTTCTTGACGCCGTGTTTTAGTGACTTTTTGTGAACCCAACAGTTAGAAGAACATAGATATGTAAAATGGCTTTTTCTTTTGGCGTCTCTTTAGATACTAATTCATTTTTTTAAAAGAAAAATGCCTATTAAGATAACCTATCTACAAAATGAATAAAAAGGGCAATGACACATTCTATTTTTTCGGGGGGTGGGGAGGGATGCGAATTTTTATATTCTATTCTATAATTGAAAATGGTTATTTATAATAATAATTATAAATATATCAGCAGCGAAATCACCTGACAAAGTATTCATTTTGTAGATAAGTTATCTTAATAAGCATTTTTCTTTTAAATAAATGAAGTAGTATCTAAAGAGACGCCAAAAGAAAAAGCCATTTTACATATCTATGTTCTTCTAACTGTTGGGTTCACAAAAAGTCACTAAAACACGGCGTCAAGAAACACCGCCAAGAAAAACAATGTGAACAAATTAACAATTTCAGCTAACACAAACTCTGCGTAAGGGGAAAAAGTTTGCACGCGGGTTAGCCAATGGAAAAAAACACATAAACATTGTGTGGCATGGTCTAAAGAGATCAACAATAAAAGCTTGCATATATCCCCTGACTTGCACTCAGTGTTAACTAATATAGAAGACCGAAGCGTGATCAATCGCTCCTCCAGCATGCAGGAAGATGCAAAACTTAGTATGCCTGTAATTATACAAACAGAAAACAACCTGACAGGCTTTTCTGTCCGGCACATTTTTTGGTTACCGTTTAATCACATCGAGAGAGGGAGAATTAATATCTCTTAAAAAATATTCTGTGCACGCTGTATTGTATTGTATTGTAATCTTAGTAATTCAGTGACCAGAAAATTAGCGACCTGGAACCAGTTTTGACGAGGGGGCCAATGGGGTTTTCCCCCAGCTTGTCGCAACAATTGTTGTCTTATTATATCCCAGGGTAGCTATTAGCGACTTGATAAATAACGCCAAAACATCTTGGATCTTTCGGTTAAAAAGTATGAAGACAATAGAGTATTTGCACAAAGGGCCCTAAATTTATAAAGTTTGCTATTTGAGGTCTATGGCAACAAGCCGTTTTGCAATGCGAACTGCGCATGTTCGAAATCTGCTTGACAACCAGTTTCGAGAGATAAACAAATCAGATGAATTCAACAAGTCTATGGGGGACGTGGTAACCGAATCCGCATGTTGAAATTTTTCTTCCAGTTTTTATTTTGTTCGAACAAAAGTTGGAGCATACAAAACACCTTAAATCATAGCGCCGCTAAAAAAAAACAATCATATTTTCGCATCTACTTCAAAACAAGAACTTGTCTTTAGTTTCGTTGGTATCCCGCTATAATTGTGCACGCTTGTGACGAACTGTTTATGTCTATACTATAGCTGTAGCAAAAAAAATCCTTCTTTGTGGTTTTTCCTCCCAACCCTGCATGCTTGTGTGTCCCACGTGTTTGTTTCTGTTTCTTGTGCCACTGTCATTTGCCTCTGACGGAGATCCTGTTTAAATCGTAATTTGTTTGATTGGCATAAAGAAAAAACAGTACTTCGGTTTCATTACAAGTTTGCCATAAAGTCAGGCTTCCATTTCATAATGCCCTACATGAAATGAGGGGCTCCATCAGTACAAGTTGATTAAATGTTTATTGAGCGAATCAGAATGCAAAGGGTGAAACGTCGCACTCCTCCCCCCCCCCCCCCCCCCCCCCCCACGGACTAGAAAAAGGGAGATATTAATTGGCAAATATTCCCTGGCAAATAAAGGAGAAAGTAAAGTAAACCTATTCAATTCAACATGGCAGCTCAACAAGTTTTACAACAGGTGCGCATGCGTAGTAATACATTCACTGAAGGGGGAACAAGTCTACGGACCTCTTTGCTATTAAACTCATAATAGTGTGTACGCAGGCGCATAAATGGGCCTGGCAGCAAGAAGCGAAATCGGTCCATTGAAATTGTACCGTGGTCCAAATATTCGGGTCATTTTCTCATAATTTGACCATGATTTGTTGCTTTTTTCTATGGAAAACCCCTGAAATCGACCTAGGCATTACTTTCTGGCCTAAGTGTGTGGGTTTTTTTTGGGGGGGGGCACAGAATAAAAACTGTAAAAATTGGATTCCGTCCCTTGCGCACGAGGGCGAAGGAAATCAACTGGGCTCCTTTGTGCACCAGTGGAAACAAAATAACCATGTACTTTGGGGTACCCGCTAACCAAATTTTGGGCCCGATCGCGGTGCTGAATCGCGGCCAGGCTTTGCCGTGGTAGAATCAGCCTGTGATCAGCTGCAGTGAAGCCAGACCGCGATCCGGCCCGAAATTTTGGAAACGAGTACCCCGAAGCATTATGTTGTAGTTGTTGTTTTTGTTGTTGTTGTTGTTGTTGCTGGTTTTTTTCTTCCGGCTGTCCCCGAAAATTGACATAACGTATGGTGTTCCATATTTTGTGCCATCCGCATTTTTTTCGGCGTCGCATTTATAAGCTCTGGCAGGGATCATTTTGATCGATTAAATGCAATACTTTTATACAAGACCTCTTCCAACAGGGCAAGAGCGTATTGTGCACTCGCACTTTTTTTGTTTTTTTTGTTGTCATTTTGAAATATGTTGAGCTCTTTGCACATAGCGCCCTCACCGATGACACGTCCTCTTTGAGACATTTTGTAGTTTTACTGCCACTGAATTCAAATATAAAACCCTGAATGACCATCTTGAGAGCGTTCTGTGCAACGTGTCTATTGCCTTCATGCTATATTAGACATTTTAACGAACAGCCCCCAGATGTTTTGACGTTACCTGGTAACTATTGTTCAAGTTACTAGCTCCTACCCTGGCAATAACAATAGAGTTTCATTGCTGCGGGAGCTGAGGGAAACCCCTCTAAGCCCCCACGGTACAACCTTTTCTAGGTCACGTATTTTGCGGTCTCTGATTTTTTTTTTTTTTTTTTGCACATTACATTACAACACCTCGTTTACGAAAAATGTTTTTTAGGAAAAAATTGGCTGACCAGCTGCCAACGTGAGTAACAATACGCGATGCATTACAAAAACGTGAACATTCTGAAACTGTACTCATTCGCTTCGACCCAATAATCCCCGCCCCATGATGCTCTGACCAATCACAGCTTTGGTAAGGTCAGCCAAAAGTCACGCATGCGGTTGAAACATAGGGTGCCACGTTCAGCAATCTCTGCTGCGAAGTAAAGTGCCCTACTGCATGCTGTCCAATTTTGGCAAGTCTCCAACAAAAAACAACAAAAAAACCATGCCTTTGCAATTTGTGGCTCGATTCTAAATCCCATATCAGGAACACGTGTTATTGATAGTCAAATTATGAAAACTGTTGTCAGGCGGCAGCGAATGAAATGGCTCCATCGAGTGCGTCGGGCCGCAGGCCTTTGCGGGCCACAAGTTCCATTACAAGAGCTCCCGAAGCCATCAGCGAGTCATATTTTTTGTGATTCCCCAGACGAAAGCTCGTCACAGGTGCATGGGATCCCCGTAACCCACTGGTGGCTCTAAATTTCAAGGGAAAGGATCGGAAAGACACAAAGGGAAAGGATCGGAGAGACACTAACTTTAGCAACCAGTCTCTGAAGGCTTCGGGACTCATTGGGAAGTGCTGACAACGCGCCAATACAAGGTACGTACGTGTTTACTTTAGGCAAGATTTCGGGGGTACATTGTGTAATCGATTAATGGTAATTTGATTCACAATAGGGGAACACTGAATGGGATTTGTTACCGGTATCAGCAGCGCTATTCCCCCCATGTTTAGTGTGCACAAAAGTTGATGAATTGCTAACTGATGTAGGTCTACATTTTTTATCTTGCGACTGGCATGGAATATTGAAGTTGATTAATGAGTTGAATGGTATGGTAACGATGCCGGTGTGGGCATAATGAACCGCCGAGCGCGTATTTGGTACGTTCTTTCTCTTCTGTCAAAATACGTATTTAGAAAGTCACTTTTGATGATTGTCTCAAAAAAACGAATGACCCCAAAGGAATGACCCTGCTGATGCATATGGGTCATTCCATGTCAGACCAACGCACTTTTTTACCTCATGTCTTCTGATTTTGATAAAAATTGCTGTGCTTGTAGGTCCTAATGAGCAATGAATACACACCAATTTTTAGCCCGATCCGACCTATTATGTGGTCAGGGCAGAAGCCACAAAAAAATGGCATTTTTAGAGTAAAATACCACCCTTTTGGTATAAATATGTCAAAACTATGGCAATTTTCATCGAATATATGTGAATTTGGTATTAAAATAATGAGGATTGCATGCTCAAAGCACTTCTTTTGTCAAAATTAAATTTTGTGAAAAGTAGGTCACGTGACCTTTAATATGCTATCGTGACCTTTGACCCACTTTTTGTAATAATGTATCATTCCGAAAATCAACGAAATAAAAAAAACTTGCTAGAGCATGTCTTCCTCTATCAGAATCTACTAAAAATCAGATGGGGTCTTCAAAATTTACAACTTTATGACTATTTTTGTACAGTTGGTAGGTTACAAATGAGTCAATTTATAGACTTTACATAAGAAATACACCAACACAACTTACTATTCTGTTTCTAAAGTTACTAAAATATATCTTGGTTTGTGAATTTCTCATTCTGAGGGCTGATGAGGTCTAACCAGACTCATAGTGTAAATTATCAGAAGTGGCGCACCCAGGATTTGGCTTTTGGTGGGGGGGGGGGTCATAAATCGTTTTTTGTTCAAATTTCTGTACAAGATTGGACCGACAAAAACTAGCCTAAAATCAAACAAACAAATTGACAATGTTGGGGTTGGGTTCAAGCCCCCCCCCCCCCTTCCTGGGTGCCACTGATAATTAGTTATCCCACGAGCGCGCTTGGAATATGAAATAATGCAATGCTGCTGTGACCCATATGCCACTCGATGCACTACATAATTCCGTGTTCCACGAGCGCAAGTGGGATTTATAACCAATTTATCTTCAACCAACTTGATATCAAATGCGTACACGCGGTGAAGATGTACGTGCATACATGTAGTGTATTGGTCCGTTCAGCAGGAAATAACACAACATATGTACACGTACATTTTTAATATCTGGGGTGCAATATAGCTGTGCAATATTATATAAAATCACACAGTTGTTGCTATAGATGGACTAATCAGGGTCTAGGATTCAAGTTTGCTTGAAGATAATACTTAATATTACAATCAAAGTTACCTTTACTCATTCATCACTGTGCTTCTTGAACTTTAATGACTCTCACAGACTTGGCATTTTGTTCCTTTGAGATGAATTTCACCTGGACGTGAGTCCGCTGTACTGGGTGAAGGCCTGGTTACTGTTAGTGGTTAGCACACTTCCGAGTCCAGATATTCTGATTAGACAGTTTCTTTGGAATCAGAAGGTAGAATTTTGTTTTTCCTGGCTTTGTACTTTATACATAAAAATCTAGATTAATTTTAGTATTTTAAGAAACAGAATAGTAAGTTGTGTTGGTGTATTTCTTATGTAAAGTCTATAAATTGACTCATTTGTAACCTACCAACTGTACAAAAGTAGTCATAAAGTTGTAAATTTTGAAGACCCCAATTGATTTTTGGTAGTTTCTGATAGAGGAAGACATGCTCTAGCAAGTTATTTTTATTTCGTTGATTTTCGGAATGATACATTATTACAAAAAGTGGGTCAAAGGTCACGATAGCATATTAAAGGTCACGTGACCTACTTTTCACAAAATTTAATTTTGACAAAAGAAGTGCTTTGAGCATGCAATCCTCATTATTTTAATACCAAATTCACATATATTCGATGAAAATTGCCATAGTTTTGACATATTTATACCAAAAGGGTGGTATTTTACTCTAAAAATGCCATTTTTGTGTGGCTTCTGCCCTGATCACATAATAGGTCGGATCGGGCTAAAAATTGGTGTGTATTCATTGCTCATTAGGACCTACAAGCACAGCAATTTTTATTAAAATCAGAAGACATGAGGTAAAAAAGTGCGTTGGTCTGACATGGAATGACCCATATGAAGTCCCATTGTCCATTCCCTCTTAGTGATCATTCACGGCTGCAATCTTCTTTTAATTTTCCAACAAATTAAAGTTATCTAATACTCCCCGAATCTTGCCTGCACATTTTCGGTCCTTCGTTGCTATAAAAATAACAACACACGTCTAATTTAAAAAAACATCTATGATTTAAGGCCCCTATACTCCATCCAATCAAACTCTTAACACATTACATAGGGTGCATGTATATGATTACGCCCCTTATAAAAAAAATTTAAAAATTTAAATAAAGTCAAATTTAATAAGAAAGTGTAATTTCTGAATTCCTGAACTTGTATTTTGAGACTGGGCAGTCAATATACATTGTATCAACCTGATAGAGACGAAATGATTCTTTATTAATACCATCGATTCGTGATGTTGTGACTAGTTTCACATTAGTAGTCATTGTATATTTGATGGATTTCAAAGTGGCACTGAGACCGCATGCCTTAGTGCTGTCTTTTCGTGAGGATTAACACGATAATGTCTTCAAGGTCAAACAATGGCTTAGCACCGAGAGCCTTCGTTTTAATTCCAATTTTGACTTTGCCTATATGGCCTTGGCCTTGAATGTTAAAGCCTTGGCCTTGACCTGGCGTTGACAGTGAAAGCCTTGGCCTTTGCCTTGGCCTTGAGGGCCAAAGCTCTTGGTGTTGGCCTGGGATGACAGAGCCTTTGCGCAAAATCCGTCAAACTATAACGTTCAAGGCGTTTTACAATCAATCGAAAATAACTAAAAGTCTTAAAAACCTTTAAAGAAATACAATGTAGGGTAATTGTTTTGGGGGTTTTTTGGTCACTAAAACAAGACCAACTCATTTCCTCCACTGTGTGAAAAAAATATACATCATGGTCGCCCCAAAAATAACTAATAAAATACAAAGGTACAGTTTAATCAATGGACCTTTTGTAATAATAAATTCATAATTATGCACGCATGGGCATATTGGACATGGCAGCAAGAAGCAAAAGCGGTACATTGAAAATGTATTAGGGCCCAAATATTTGGGTCATTTTCTTTCAATTTGTCCAAGAATTGGCCCTTTTTTCCATGGAAAAAAAAAAATTCAATCGTCATAGGCATTACTTCCTGGCCTTTGATTTTTGGGGCACATAATATAAAGTTTAAAAACCGATTTCCTAACCATTGAAAAAAAAGCAACAACAACAACAACAAAAACAACAACAACAACAAAAACAAATAACCGTGTGCTTCGGGGTACTCGTTCCCCAAAATTCGGGCCGGATCGCGGTCTGCCTTCACTGCGGCTGATCACAGGCTGATTCTACCACGGCAAAGCCTGGCCGCGAATCAGCACCGCGATCGGGCCCAAAATTTGGTTAGCGGGTACCCCAAATTACATGGTTATTTTGTTTCCACTGGTGCACAAAGGAGCCCAGTTGATTTCCTTCGCCCTCGTGCGCAAGGGACGGAATCCAATTTTTACAGTTTTTTTCTGTGCCCCCCCCCCCCCCCCACAAAAAACCACACACTTAGGCCAGAAAGTAATGCCTAGGTCGATTTAAAGGGTTTTCCAAAGAAAAAAAGCAACAAATCATGGACAAATTATGAGAAAATGACCCGAATATTTGGAGCACGGTACAATTTCACTGGACCGATTTCGCTTCTTGCTGCCAGGCCCATTTATGCGCCTGCGTACACACTATTATGAGTTTATTAGCAAAGAGGTCCGTAGACTTGTTCCCCCTTCAGTGAATGTATTACTACGCATGCGCACCTGTTGTAATACTTGTTGAGCTGCCATGTTGAATTGAATAGGTTTACTTTGCTTTCTCCTTTATTTGCCAGGGAACTTCCCCTCTCCACGGGGGAATATATTCCGTGGGAAATAACTCTGTGCATACAAATCCCTTAACGATGAATAAAGAGCCTTACAAATCACACATCTAAGGTAGTCAATAATAGTTTTAAAAAATGTACATTTCTGCTTAGGAACGTAATCTTGAATAGAAAAGTACAAGCCTAGATGTGTCGGTCATGGCACGCAGTTGACTGCGTTCTTGAACCTACATATAATTCACTCTTTGCCAATTAATATCTCCCTTTTTCTAGTCCGGGGGGGGGGGTAGCGCGACGTTTCACCCTTTGCATTCTGATTCGCTCAATAAACATTTAATCAACTTGTACTGATGGAGCCCCTCATTTCATGTAGGGCATTATGAAATGGAAGCCTGACTTTATGGCAAACTTGCAATGAAACCGAAGTACTGTTTTGTTTCTTTATGCAAATCAAACAAATTACGATTTAAACAGGATCTTCGTCAGAGGCAAATGACGGTGGAACAAGAAACAGAAACAAACATGTGGGACACACAAGCATGCAGGGTTGGGAGGAAAAACCACAGAGAAGGATTTTTTTTTTGCTACAGCTATAGTATAGACATAAACAGTTCGTCAAAAGCGTGCACAATTATAGCGGGATACCAACGAAACTAAAGACAAGTTCTTGTTTTGAAGTAGATGCGAAAATATGATTGGTTTTTTTTAGCGGCGCTATGATTTAAGGTGTTTGTATGCTCCATCTTTTGTTCGAACAAAATAAAAACTGGAAGAAAAATTGCATAATGCGGATTCGGTTACCACGTCCCCCATAGACTTGTTTGAATTCATCTGATTTGTTTATCTCTCGAAACTGGTTGTCAAGCAGATTTCGAACATGCGCAGTTCGCATTGCAAAAAGGCTTATTGCCATTGACCTCAAATAGCAAACTTTATAAATTTAGGGCCCTTTGTGCAAATACTCTATTGTCTTCATACTTTTTAACCGACAGATCAAGGATGTTTTGGCGTTATTTATCAAGTCGCTAATAGCTACCCTGGGATATAAAGAGACAACAATTGTTGCGAGAAGCTGGGGGAAAACCCCATTGGCCCCCTCGTCAAAACTGGTTCCATGTCGCTAATTTTCTGGTCACTGAATTACTAAGATTACAATACAATACAGTGTGCACAGAATAGTTTTCAAGAGATATTAATTTTCCCTCTCTCGATGTGATTAAACGGTAACCAAAAATTGTACCGGACAGAAAAGCCTGTCAGGTTGTTTTCTGTTTGTATAATTACAGGCATATTAAGTTTTGCATCTTCCTGCATGCTGGAGGAGCGATTGATCACGCTTCGGTCTTCTATATTAGTTAACACTGAGTGCAAGTCAGGGGATATATGCAAATTTGTATTGTTGATCTCTTTGGACCATGCCACACAATGTTTATGTGGTTTTTTTTTCCATTGGCTAATCCGCGTGTTAACTTTTTCCCCCCTAACGCAGAGTTTGTGTTAGCTGAAATTGTTAATTTGTTCACATTGATTTTCTTGACGGTGTTTCTTGACGCCGTGTTTTAGTGACTTTTTGTGAACCCAACAGCTAGAAGAACATAGATATGTAAAATGGCTTTTTCTTTTGGCGTCTCTTTAGATACTAATTCATTTTTTTTTAAAGAAAAATGCCTATTAAGATAACTTATCTACAAAATGAATAAAAAGGGCAATTACACATTCTATTTTTTCGGGGGGTGGGGAGGGATGCGAATTTTTATATTCTATAATTGAAAATGGTTATTTATAATAATAATTATAAATATATCAGCAGCGAAATCACCTGACAAAGTATTCATTTTGTAGATAAGTTATCTTAATAGGCATTTTTCTTTTAATGAATTCAAATATAAAACCCTGAATGACCATCTTGAGAGCGTTCTGTGCAACGTGTCTATTGCCTTCATGCTATATAAGACATTTTAACGAACAGCCCCCAGATGTTTTGACGTTACCTGGTAACTATTGTTCAAGTTACTAGCTCCTACCCTGGCAATAACAATAGGGTTTCATTGCTGCGGGAGCTGAGGGAAACCCCTCTAAGCCCCCACGGTACAACCTTTTCTAGGTCACGTATTTTGCGGTCACTGTGGGGTTTTTTTTGGGGGGGGGGGGGGTTGCGTATTACTATACCTCGTTCACGAAATAAGTTTTTTAGGAAAAAATATATATGATTTTACCCTTTGTGCAAATAAAGGTCAACCAAACATTTTCCAGAGAGCAAAGCCTGGATTCTTTTCTGCTGGTATACACTTGTAGTGTTCAAAGTGCTGCCTCTTCCTGCTTGAGGAGGGGTTGATCACGCTTTTTGCTCCTATATGCCAACGAGTTAACAATGAGTGCAAGTCACGTACAAGCCTCTCTGCAGGGGGATATGCCGATTCGGAGGGGGTTTGTTTTGGTTGCTCTTTTCAAACCTTGCCACACATTTTTGCTTTTATTTTCCATTAACTAACCCGAGTGGAAACTTTTTCCCAATGTAGAGTGTGTGCACGCTGAAATTGTTAATCTGTTTTTTTTTTCTGAGGGGGGGGGGGGACTTTTTGTGATTAAAAGGTGGAAGCGCACAAATATGTCACATGGGTTTTCTGTTTCTTTTGGCGTCTATTCAGATATCAGTTTTCACATGCGTATGCCTTGTAATGGTTAATCGCCTACAAACAAAGCCAAGCTATGAAAATGCATGCCTTTAACTGGTAACTGAATGTAAATTAATATCCTGACTTCATTAATCATGTTTTGTCGGTTCATTTGTCTAAACTCTGCTCGATTAATTCATTCAGAGATGCCAAATGTTTTAGGAATTCCAGTATATCAGTAAAAGTATGTATTATTATTCCAGTAAAATTATGAATACATGTATAAGTACGGTTAAAAGTTATTATTTAACATTGTTATTCTTGATACCAGTTGATCCTCGTCGTCTGACGTCCGACCTCAAAAACAAAGATGCAGCAAGACAGACTTGGTCGGCGAGGTAGAGCTAGGATCATAGCCGAGGAGTACAACCACTCACTCAGCAAACTCGTCGGCACGAAGAGGAGGGTTAAGCCAAGTCGTAAGGCGGCATTCATGGCCGCCTTTCCAGTCAAAGCCTCGCCAAGACTCCATTCTGATAAAGAGGGAGCATCCGTCCTGCCACTGAAAGAGGCTTCAGTAACTCATCTTGAGCACGGCGAAACTGATGTGACAGAAGAAACAAATAGCAAAACTGAAGTGGAAAGGTATAAGGGGGCAAACGTTCCGAAAAAAATCTCGATCAACCAAATGTTTCACAAAATCCCCATAATAAATGTTATATTATAGGCCTGTAGGGTGGTATTTTTTGTCATTTCGTGACGAACCAGGTGCAGTGGTTATTCAGCATGATAGCATTAACTAAAAATACATTGCAATGTGTAACCCCATTTCACAATTGGTGGACTTGTTTCAAGTATCTTGCAACATGTTTCTAAAATAATTGCCCAATACGAAATCACTGTTTCATATTTTCTTCTCATTAAAATAAAATCCAAATTTGCTACTTCTGTAATTGGAGCATAATACCTGACGTCTGAACATCTGACATTTAGCTGAATCGAAAATAGTAATTGTCTGAGTTTTGTTGTCCAAGGCTCATGCAGGAGATTTTTCTGTATTTCCAACTTGCAGTCCCGTTGAAGTGAGACAGAAATTGCAGGTGTTTGTCCGAGGTCTGCTCTTACCAAAGACACTTTGCCTGCAATTAGATCCGGAGACATCCGTTTCTGATTTAAAGGCACTGGTTGAAAGAGAGAGTGGCATCCAGCCTCAGGATCAACGCCTATACATTGGGATACATTTTCAGGTGCTGCTTCTATTATTACAATGAAAAAGGAACTCACGGCCCTCTTACGGCAAAAGGGAAAATCGCGGCCTGCTCAAGAGTGTAACTTGAGAAAAAATAACACATTTCGAGAAAATCCGTTTAAAGTTCAAGGCCTTCAATTGTTTATTTTTAACTATCGATTAAACCAATTGATTTATACTACAGTATGTAAATATTGTTGTAAACAAGCAATAGAAATATCAGTTTCTTGTCCTTTTTCGTTTTTGGTAAAGAGGCACTTTAAACTTGTTGCAACACTGTACCTTGTTTTACAAACATATAAAAAAGGTTGTTTTTGGTAAAATGATGGATCTTGAGAGAGCATATCCAATGCACTATTATGCAGTTTGACGATAAGCATAACGACTGTATAATAATGCAAAAAACTGTATCTTGTATAGTTTGCCTCTTCACATCGGGTCACATAATCACAGAACATGCTGCATCTCAACATACGCCCTTTTGACAAAGAAAGTGAATTACACATGCAAGATTTTGCTAGAAATACGCCCTGCTGTGTTTTAAACGGAAAGCCATATGGACTTAAAAGTTCATCGAATGTAAGCAGCGCCCCTAATTACCCCCAAAATAACACCATCTCAAAGGCCAAAAGTTACACCCTTTTGCCGTGAGAAGTCCGATCAGTCTAAGTCACTTTTTGAATTATTTTAGTGCGAGAGTAAACGCCAATTCAATGTTAATGTATTCAACCAGTTTGAGATTTTCTGGCAAAGAATGTAATACTATGCGTAATTTTAACTGGGCATGGTACCTTAGTTTGGTCTGTAATTGTTGTCTACTCATTAGATGTCACATATAACTGATGTATCACTTTCACTTTTCCAAACAGCAGCTTATTAACGTGTCTGACATATACGTCCGAATTTACGTAATTGCACCAGGAATTGTTAAAAACACTGATTTGTAAATTTCTGCCCCCTGAAATTCACATTGGTTTGCAGCTATGTGACCTACTCTCCATTCGCGATCATGGGATACACCAAGACCAGAACATCGAGCTTCGCGCTGGTGGCTTACTAGGCGGTGGACCATTAGGTAACTATACCAAGGCATGAGGTTGGAAAAAAAACAATAAAAACACAAACAGTTAAATTGGGTGATTAACGAATTCGTCGTTTTTGCAAATGTTACTATTATACAAATATTGAGTGCTTCGAGTGGTGAAGTAAAACTAGCCTCCCGAGGTGATCCATGGACCATTCTATTTTCCCCAGGCGAAGCCGAGGGAAAATAGAATGGTCCATGGATCACCGAGGGAGGCTAGTTTTACTTCACCACGAGATAAAGCATTCAATATTTGTTTTATAACACTTCGCCCACAGATTCTGCTTGATTTTAATATTTTTAATTATTTAAATCTGAACACAGTTGAAATAAACTTCAATTTCAATACAAAATTGGTGGAAAATGTATTTCTCTCTTAAAAACTACCGCTTCACGAAATGTTTGAACCCAAGTCTGCGGCGCGCTCTCTTTGGAATAATACGCGCTACGCATAACGCGCAACGCGCACACCAGCATGCATTTGCACACAAATACCGCGCCGTGGAAATAGTACTTTGGTTGCTAATGGTATAGTACTTTGTTTGCTATGCGCATAGTACTTTTGGCCGTGCACAGAAAGATAGCAAAATTAGAAAGTAACATGTGACTCGCTCTCGGCCAATCAAGACACAGAATCTGTGGGTGAGGTGTTATAATAGCTGAAAGCGTCATAAAACTTATGTTTGATTAGTCAATGCCGTATAAGTTTCTGATCTTGTTTAACCTCACACTTGAGTTAAAAGGAGCTCCATTCATTTGGTGCCCCTAACGCCGTGCCGAGATGAGTGATGTGAACTGTTTGTATGTTTTTGCATTCCAGAAGAATGCATCTTAAACTTATCACGTAAGCTTGGAAAAGACTGGAGGCTGCTCGCCAGATTGTTGGATTTCAAGGGAGGAGAAATCGACGTCTTCCAAGAAAACAACAGGGGAGACCTACGTGAACAAATCTACCAGATGTTAGATGCCTGGTTGAAGAAACAGGACAATCCCGCAGACGCTCCTGAGAAGCTGAAAGCCGTTCTGGAAGACATGGGCCGTGCTGATCTGGCATCGCAAGTACCAAGTACGTCCGTTAACCGAAAATGTTAATCATGCTCTGTTTCTCGGTCAAGCTAAGCTTACTACCCCGGCCTTTCCCTTTTTACATCAATGTATTATTGTTGACATCAATTAAACAAGAAATGTAGAAATAAATGTGATGTAGTTGGACGGCATAAGGAGACCCTGCCCTCTTGTGAAAAAGGACGAGCTGCATCGGGGTATTTACGGAGGAGCAGAGGGGAAAACACCGCTGCACATGCTCACTTATGATGATTCTTGATTCGTACTCGCTTAAAGTTACTCTTAGGCTGCCAATGAACAAGGGATCACACGTACCGTAGAAATCAAAGACGAAGACAAGCCTCTGTCCTAAGAAAAAAACATTGCCTGGAACATAACACAGAAATATACAACAGCTCGGTAAGGAGATGCACTGTGACTTGCGACTGTGCATGTTAAGAGTATGTTCTCCACACTGCCCCTACAACATGCATCACAAACACGTGAGAGACTTTTACATACACAAACTTCATTTTCGGTCAAAAGTATATTCACTAGGGCTTGCGGGTGTGCCCTTTCCGACGGTGAACGTCACGGTGGTAGTCATAGCGACGCACAAACATAAGTGAAAACTCTGACAGAAATATATTGGTGTATACACAGTCGAAGGACGTCTTCCAGAAAAAAAGACCGAGAAAGTATACAATCTCCCGGCGCTGCCGAGTAGTTCATCTGAATATCTGTAAGCTGGGGCAAACACCTCTATCAATGTTTATCCAGAAAATGAACCTTTAAGTTATATAAGCTCGCTATTACACGTGTACAATAATCATCCCGAATAATTCCAATGGATGGACCTAACAACTAAATTTTCATGTTGACGAAGACAAGTGTTAAACGTCTTCGCGCGAGAAGCACAAGGTCATCAACAAAGTAATGTGTTTCATAGGAATATGTGGGCTTATATCACACACTTACAATGTAAATGGACATAAGTCACTTCTACAAAATGCGTACATGAACGTTCAATGAGGTCGCCCTTGGTCATTCTAGGCTCCCTTTATGAATATTTGAAAAAGGTTTGATATTTAAACATTATATCACTTTTGTGATAGCAATTTCACCAAAACTGACTTCTGTGGATATTGAGTGCTATGCAAAACTTCTGCTCATAAAATTCCAACAGCTGACAGGCGAAACAAATGAAAATTTAAAACACCCACGAAATTTAAGTTAAAGCATAAAATATACTGTGTGTTAAACAGCTTATTAACAAAAAGGATTTGCACCCAATCTCCGAACCAGGTTACATTTTCAGCGCCATGAATTTGGGCCTGTGCTTTACTCAAATAAGAGGCATCTTTAAGTAAATGTTGATAATAATAATGATTGTTCCCCGATATGACTTTTCTGCACAGGCATTGCAGGACCTCGTTTTGACGTTGAACAGTGTGCAAGAGAATTGGCAGCGCATTACCGAGAGACCATGAAAGTGTCGACACATCCTAAAGAGAAGCACATGGCAAGAGAGATGGATGACATCTATGTCAACCCACAGCTACTGCAAGAAACGAACATACCTGTCCTCTCATCGGAGGCAAAGATGCAGGCAGAAACAGGCAGACATTCAGAGCATTTGAAAGCTTCGAAACAAGGTACTCCTGATGCCCCCAAATCACAATCTGATAAGGACAAAGGGCTTCATGTTCAGACAATTTCCCTTGACTCATATAAAGACATGCTTAAGCTCGAAGGAAATCGATTATTAATCAGAGCTGAGGCGGGTTTCGGGAAAACCACACTCCTTAAAAGGATTGCATACGATTGGGCAGATCTGAAAATCAAGGGGGGTCAGACTGAAAACCAACAACAATCTGAGCACGCATCAGTTCTGGGAAGGTACGAGCTTATCTTTGTGGTCGAGGTTAATCGAATGGGCAAGACATTCAACATCATCGACGCCATATTTTCTCAGATTCTCACACATAGCAAACTGAAAAAGACAGATTTAGAAAAATACATCCAGGAAAACCAAGAGAGCGTATTAATTCTTTTGGATGGCGCTGATGAGATTTTCTTGCAAAGGATAAAGGATGCACAGTGCAACATCAGCTTTGACCTAAACGGTGTACTATCGTTCAAATCACTCAAGTCATGCAAGGTTATAGTTACGAGCCGACAGAAGACGGCAAATGAACTGTTGAATATGCATGCATACTACACAAACATTATCATGGTCGGCTTTGACGAGAAAGACAGGGATCTTTACCTCAGGAAATACTTGGCAAATTTTGAGTCTAAAAATCAAAACAGCTTCCTTGAAAAGGTGAATGGATCCGAAACGCTTCGTAGTTTAGCCAAGATACCGTTATTTATGTGGCTGATGTGCCATACATGGGCAAATAAAGGACAACTGCCTGATCAAATAACAAGCCTTTTTCGGGATAATATTCATCTGCTTTTCCTGCATCAGGCTAGTAAGGAAACAGACGAACAAGTTTCGGACACCAAGACACTTATTTCAAAACTTGGTCGGATAGCTCTTGAAGGTTTGTTAGATCCAAATGGGGAAAGGCTTCATTTCTTAGAAAATGAGATCGATTCAAAGGACCTAGATATTTTCGAGAGGGGTTCCGATGTTGGCTTGCTGTCAAAAAGAAAAACTGTTCAAGGTCTCGAGATAGTTTTTCACTTTTCGTTCCCGCACAAGACTTTCCAGGAATACTGCGCGGCGGTATATCTGGTAGATTTGTTAACCACTGACAAAGAAGCCTTTGACCAATACCTGTCTTGTATATTGCATGGTGATGTGGAAAGCTTGGAATACGTTCTGCGATTCTGCTGTGGGCTGAACACAGATGCTGCCGAGGTGATCTTAAGGCGCATTGGGGATCTCTTAAAACAAAACAGACCGAACAAGTCCATGCATAGAATTCTGATGCAACTGCTTTTTGAAGCCCAGTCAGAATCCCTCGTGAAATGCTTTGTTGAAACTGGGAAGGTTGCGTTTCCATATGAACTCCAAGGTGAAGTACTTGTAGCTGCGCATTATTTCTTTAAAGTCGGTTCCAACCATACAACTCTGCTCAAAACAGACCAACAAGAAATTAATGCTACATGTCGAGATTTAGCTGACTTCAGACTTTTAGAGGATATAATGACACACATCCAATGTAAGCCATCGCTGAACCTTGTAATTAATGGGATCAGCTGGGATAGCTTTGAGGATAAGTCCATGAGGATGTTGAAATCCAAGAGGATGATGAAATGTCTGAAGTCTTTACATGTAGCTAACTGTGATTGGAAGCTTGGAAAGCTTTTTCAAGTGTTGTCAAAAAGCTACGCGGAAATTGACACTTTAACAATAAGTGGTAGAGTTACGCTAGATACACTGTCTAACCGAACCATTAAACCAGTAACAAGCATGAAAAAAATCAATCTTTTCAACTGCAGTCTGACCAACAGTGATATTCAGCTACTGTTCTCTCTCTTATCGGCATTGGGCAGCATACAGAGAGTTGATCTAGGAATCAATAATTTACATGGTTTGCAGCCTGTACCGATCTCTGCTGTTCCCTCACTGTCTGAACTATATATCTATGAGTGTGGTTTGACTAACAGTGACATGGAGCCACTTTTCTCTCTCTTGTCTGCAGCAGGCAGCATAAAGACACTCACCCTTAAGGGAAACAAATTAAACGGTTTGCAGCCAACCAAGACCACTACTTGTCCCTCCCTTTCTGAACTAAATTTGTGGGAGTGTGGTCTGACAAGCAGTGACATTAAGCCCCCTTTCCGACTCCTGTCGGCTGCAGGCAGCGTAAAGAAACTTGTTCTTAAAGGAGAGAATTTACACGATAGGAAACCGTCACAAATCACTGCTGTTCCGTCTCTGTCTGAGCTACATCTCGATGAGTGTGGTCTGACAAAAAGTGACATTCAGCCACTTTTCTCTTTCATATCAGCAGCAGGCAGCGTAAAGACACTTGCCCTGAAAGGAAACAATTTACACGGTTTGCAGCCCGAAGGAATTACTGCTATTTCTTCCTTGACTGAACTACATCTTGATGATTGTGGTCTGACTAAAACTGACATTAGGCCACTTTTCTCTCTACTTGCAGCAGCAGGCAGCATAAAGACACTTGCCCTGACAGGAAACAATCTACACGGTTTGCAGCCTGAAGAGATCACTGTTGTTCCTTCCCTGTCAAAACTACATCTCCATGGGTGTGGTCTGGAAAACATTGATATTGAACCACTTTTCTATATCGTGTCGGCAGCAGGCAGCGTGAAAACGCTTGTTTTGCAAGGAATGGATTTACACGGTTTGCAGTCTGGAACGATCTCTGCTGTTCCCTGCCTTTCTCAACTAAGTATCTATGCGTGTGGTCTGACAAGCAGTGACATTATGTCACTTTATCAACTCTTGTCAGCAGCAGACAACGCGTGGACATTTATCCTGAACGGATACACTTTGCAAGGCTTGCAGCTGGATGAGATTACTGCTATTCTAAATGCATCTCTATGAGTGTGGTCTGACGAAAATCGACATTCAGCCAGTTTTCTCTCTCCTGTTAGCAGCAGGCAGCGTAAAGACACTTGTTTTTGAAGGAAACAATTTACAGGGTTTGCAGCCCGAAGAAATCACTGCTGTTTCCTCCCTGACCGAACTACGTCGCAATGAGTGTGGTTTAAACAGCCATGACATAGACTCACTTTTCACTATCCTTTCATCAGCAGGCAGCATAAAAACACTCACTCTTAAGGGAAACAAATTAAACGGTTTGCAGTCAGCCAATATCACTACTTGTCCCTCCCTTTCTTAACTAAATTTGTGTGAGTGTGGTCTGACAAGCAGTGACATTAAGCCCCTTTTCTGACTCCTGTCGGCTGCAGGAAGCGTCAAGAAACTTGTTCTTAAAGGAGAGAATTTACACGATAGGAAACCGTCACAGATCACTGCTGTTCCGTCTCTGTCTGAGCTACATCTCGATGAGTGTGGTCTGACAAATAGTGACATTCAGCCACTTTTCTCTCTACTTGCAGCAGCAGGCAGCATAAAGACACTTGCCCTGACAGGAAACAATCTACACGGTTTGCAGCCTGAAGAGATCACTGTTGTTCCTTCCCTGTCAAAACTACATCACCATGGGTGTGGTCTGGAAAACATTGATATTGGACCACTTTTCTATATCGTGTCTGCAACTGGCAGCGTGGAGACGCTCGTTTTGCAAGAAATGAATTTACACTCTGGAAAGATCTCTGCTGTTCCCTGCCTTTCTCAACTTCATCTCTATGAGTGTGATCTGACAAACAGTGACATCCTGCCACTTTTTCAACTCTTGTCAGCAGCAGGCAGCGTGCAGAAACTTATCCTGAACGGAAACAATCTACAAGGGTTGCGGCCGAAAGAGATCACTGCTGTTCCTTCCTTGGTTGAACTACATCTCTATGACTGTGGTCTGACGAAAATCGACATTCAGCCAGTTTTCTCTCTCCTGTCAGCAGCAGGCAGCGTAAAGACATTTTTTTTGAAGGAAACAATTTACAGGGTTTGCAGCCCGAAGGAATCACTGCTGTTTCCTCCCTGACCGAACTACGTCTCAAGGGGTGTGGTTTAAAAAAAAAATGACATAGACTCACTTTTCACTATCCTTTCATCAGCAGGCAGCATAAAAACACTCACCCTTAAGGGAAACAAATTAAACGGTTTGCAGTCAGCCACGATCACTACTTGTCCCTCCCTTTCTGAACTAAATTTGTGTGAGTGTGGTCTGACAAGCAGTGACATTAAACCCCTTTTCCGACTCCTGTCGGCTGCAGGCAGGTTAAAGAAACTTGTTCTTAAAGGGGACAAATTACACGATAGGAAACCGTCACAGATCACTGCTGTTCCGTCTCTGTCTGAGCTACATCTCGATGAGTGTGGTCTGACAAATAGTGACATTAAGCCACTTTTCTCTCTCATGTCAGCAGCAGGCAGCGTAAAGACACTTGCTCTGAAAGGAAACAATTAAACGGTTTGCAGGCGGAAGAGATCACTGCCGTTTCCTCCCTGACTCACCTAGTTCTCAATTGTTGTGGTGCAACAAACACTGACATTAGGTCACTTTTTTCTCTCCTTTCATCATCAGGCAGCATAGAGACACTCACCCTTCAGGGAAACAATTTACACGGTTTGCAGCCCGAAGGAATTACTGCTGTTTCCTCCTTGACTGAACTACATCTCGATGACTGTGGTCTGACAAATAGTGACATTAAGCCACTTTTCTCTCTACTTGCAGCAGCAGGCAGCATAAAGACACTTGCCCTGAAAGGAAACAATCTACACGGTTTGCAGCCAAAATAGATCACTGTTGTTCCTTCCCTGTCAATACTACATCTCCATGGGTGTGGTCTGGAAAACATTGATATTGGACCACTTTTCTTTATCGTGTCAGCAACTGGCAGCGTGGAGACGCTCGTTTTGCAAGGAATGAATTTACACAGTTTGCAGTCTGGAAAGATCTCTGCTGTTCCCTGCCTTTCTCAACTTCATCTCTATGAGTGTGATCTGACAAACAGTGACATCCTGCCACTTTTTCAACTCTTGTCAGCAGCAGGCAGCGTGCAGAAACTTATCCTGAACGGAAACAATCTACAAGGCTTGCAGCCGGAAGAGATCACTGCTGTTCCTTCCTTGGTTGAACTACATCTCTATGACTGTGGTCTGACGAAAATCGACATTCAGCCAGTTTTCTCTCTCCTGTCAGCAGCAGGCAGCGTAAAGACACTTGTTTTTGAAGGAAACCATTTACAGGGTTTGCAGCCCGAAGGAATCACTGCTGTTTCCTCCCTGACCGAACTACGTCTCAATGGGTGTGGTTTAAACAATTATGACATAGACTCACTTTTCACTATCCTTTGATCAGCAGGCAGCATAAAAACACTCACCCTTAAGGGAAACAAATTAAACGGTTTGCAGTCAGCCACGATCACTACTTGTCCCTCCCTTTCTGAACTAAATTTGTGTGAGTGTGGTCTGACAAGCAGTGACATTAAACCCCTTTTCCGACTCCTGTCGGCTGCAGGCAGGTTAAAGAAACTTGTTCTTAAAGGGGACAAATTACACGATAGGAAACCGTCACAGATCACTGCTGTTCCGTCTCTGTCTGAGCTACATCTCGATGAGTGTGGTCTGACAAATAGTGACATTAAGCCACTTTTCTCTCTCATGTCAGCAGCAGGCAGCGTAAAGACACTTGCTCTGAAAGGAAACAATTTACACGGTTTGCAGCCGAAAGGAATTACTGCTATTTCCTCCTTGACTGAACTACATCTCAATGAGTGTGGTCTGACAAATAGTGACATTAAGCCACTTTTCTCTCTACTTGCAGCAGCAGGCAGCATAAAGACACTTGTTTTGCAAAGAAACAATTTACACGGTTTGCAGCCTGTAACAATCTCTGCTGTTCCCTGCCTGTCTGAACTTCATCTCTATGAGTGTGAGCTGGAAAATAGTGACATTAAGCCACTTTTCTCTCTCCTGTCAGCAGCAGGCAAGGTGAAGACGCTTGTTTTGCGAGGAAACAATTTACACGGTTTGCAGCCTGAAACGATTTCTGCTGTTCCCTGCTTGTCTGAACTACATCTCTTTGAGTGTGGTCTGACAAGCACTGACATTATGTCACTTTTCCGTCTTCTGTCAGCAGCGGGCAGCGTAGAGACACTTGCCCTGAGAGGACTCAATCTACACGGTTTGCAGGCGGAAGGGATCACTGTTGTTCCTTCCCTATTTAATCTACGTCTCTATGAGTGTTGTCTAACAAACATCGACATTAACCCGCTTTTCTCACTTATGTCTGCAGCAGGTAGCGTAAAGACACTTGTTTTGAAAGAAAACCAATTAAACGGTTTGCAGGCGGAAGAGATCACTGCCGTTTCCTCCCTGACTCACCTAGTTCTCAGTTGTTGTGGTGTAACAAACACTGACATTAGGTCACTTTTTTCTCTCCTTTCATCATCAGGCAGCATAGAGACACTCACCCTTCAGGGAAACAATTTACACGGTTTGCAGCCCGAAGGAATTACTGCTGTTTCCTCCTTGACTGAACTACATCTCTTTGAGTGTTGTCTAACAATAGTTCCATTAAGCCACTTTTCTCTCTACTTGCAGCAGCACGCAGCATAAAGACACTTACCCTTAAAGGAAACAATCTACACGGTTTGCAGCCAGAAGAGATCACTGTTGTTCCTTCCCTGTCAAAACTACATCTCAATGGGTGTTGTCTGGAAAACATTGATATTGGACCACTTTTCTCTATCGTGTCAGCAACTGGCAGCGTGGAGAGGCTCGTTTTGCAAAGAATGCATTTACACAGTTTGCAGTCTCTAAAGATCTCTTCTGTTCCCTGCCTTTCTCAACTTCATCTCTATGAGTGTGATCTGACAAACAGTGACATCCTGCCACTTTTTCAACTCATATCAGCAGCAGGCAGCGTGCAGAAACTTATCCTGAACGGAAACAATCTACAAGGCTTGCAGCCGGAAGAGATCACTGCTGTTCCTTCCTTGGTTGAACTACATCTCTATGACTGTGGTCTGACGAAAATCGACATTCAGCCAGTTTTCTCTCTCCTGTCAGCAACAGGCAGCGTAAAGACACTTGTTTTTGAAGGAAACCATTTACAGGGTTTGCAGCCCGAAGAAATCACTGCTGTTTCCTCCCTGACCGAACTACGTCGCAATGAGTGTGGTTTAAACAGGCATGACATAGACTCACTTTTCACTATCCTTTCATCAGCAGGCAGCATAAAAACACTCACCCTTAAGGGAAACAAATTAAACGGTTTGCAGTCAGCCACGATCACTACTTGTCCCTCCCTTTCTGAACTAAATTTGTGTGAGTGTGGTCTGACAAGCAGTGACATTAAACCCCTTTTCCGACTCCTGTCGGCTGCAGGCAGGTTAAAGAAACTTGTTCTTAAAGGGGACAAATTACACGATAGGAAACCGTCACAGATCACTGCTGTTCCGTCTCTGTCTGAGCTACATCTCGATGAGTGTGGTCTGACAAATAGTGACATTAAGCCACTTTTCTCTCTCATGTCAGCAGCAGGCAGCGTAAAGACACTTGCTCTGAAAGGAAACAATTTACACGGTTTGCAGCCCAAAGGAATTACTGCTGTTTCCTCCTTGACTGAACTACATCTCGATGAGTGTGGTCTGACAAAAAGTGACATTAAGCCACTTTTCTCTCTCATGTCAGCAGCAGGCAGCGTAAAGACACTTGCCCTGAAAGAAAACAAATTACAGGGTTTGCACCCAGAAGGAATTACTGCTGTTTCCTCCTTGACTGAACTACATCTCGATGAGTGTGGTCTGACTAAAAGTGACATTAGGCCACTTTTCTCTCTACTTGCAGCAGCAGGCAGCATAGAGACACTCGACCTGCAGGGAAACAATTTACACGGTTTGCAGCCCGAAGGAATTACTGCTGTTTCCTCCTTGACTGAACTACATCTCGATGACTGTGGTCTGACAAATAGTGACATTAAGCCACTTTTCTCTCTACTTGCAGCAGCAGGCAGCATAAAGACACTTGCCCTGAAAGGAATCAACCTACACGGTTTACATCCAGAAGAGATCACTGTTGTTCCTACCCTGTCAAAACTACATCTCCATGGGTGTGGTCTGGAAAACATTGATATTGGACCACTTTTCTCTATCATGTCAGCAGCAGGCAGCGTGGAGACGCTTGTTTTGGAAGGAAGGAATTTACACAGTTTGCAGTCTGGAAAGATCTCTGCTGTTCCCTGCCTTTCTCAACTTCATCTCTATGAGTGTGATCTGACAAACAGTGACATCCTGCCACTTTTTCAACTCATATCAGCAGCAGGCAGCGTGCAGAAACTTATCCTGAACGGAAACAATCTACAAGGCTTGCAGCCGAAAGAGATCACTGCTGTTCCTTTCTTGGTTGAACTACATCTCTATGACTGTGGTCTGACGAAAATCGACATTCAGCCAGTTTTCTCTCTCCTGTCAGCAGCAGGCAGCGTAAAGAAACTTGTTTTTGAAGGAAACAATTTACAGGGTTTGCAGCCCGAAGGAATCACTGCTGTTTCCTCCCTGACCGAACTACGTCTCAATGGGTGTGGTTTAAACAACCATGACATAGACTCACTTTTCACTATCCTTTCATCAGCAGGCAGCATAAAAACACTCACCCTTAAGGGAAACAAATTAAACGGTTTGCAGTCAGCCACGATCACTACTTGTCCCTCCCTTTCTGAACTAAATTTGTGTGAGTGTGGTCTGACAAGCAGTGACATTAAACCCCTTTTCCGACTCCTGTCGGCTGCAGGCAGCGTAAAGAAACTTGTTCTTAAAGGGGACAAATTACACGATAGGAAACCGTCACAGATCACTGCTGTTCCGTCTCTGTCTGAGCTACATCTCGATGAGTGTGGTCTGACAAATAGTGACATTAAGCCACTTTTCTCTCTCATGTCAGCAGCAGGCAGCGTAAAGACACTTGCTCTGAAAGGAAACAATTAAACGGTTTGCAGCCCAAATGAATTACTGCTATTTCCTCCTTGACTGAACTACATCTCGATGAGTGTGGTCTGACAAATAGTGACATTAAGCCACTTTTCTCTCTAATTGCAGCAGCAGGCAGCATAAAGACACTTGTTTTGCAAAGAAACAATTTACACGGTTTGCAGCCTGTAACAATCTCTGCTGTTCCCTGCCTGTCTGAACTTCATCTCTTTGAGTGTGAGCTGGAAAATAGTGACATTAAGCCACTTTTCTCTCTCCTGTCAGCAGCAGGCAAGGTGAAGACGCTTGTTTTGCGAGGAAACAATTTACACGGTTTGCAGCCTGAAACGATTTCTGCTGTTCCCTGCCTGTCTGAACTACATCTCCTTGAGTGTGGTCTGAAAAGCAGTGACATTAAGCCACTTTTCTCTCTCCTGTCAGCAGCAGGCAGCATACGGACACTTGTTCTTCAAGGAGACAATTTACACGGTCGACATCCGGCGCAGATCGCTGCTGTTTCCTCCCTATCTGAACTTCATCTCTATGAGTGTGAGCTCGAAAATAGTGACATTAAGCCACTTTTCTCTCTCCTGTCAGCAGCAGGCAAGGTGAAGACGCTTGTTTTGCGAGGAAACAATTTACACGGTTTGCAGCCTGAAACGATTTCTGCTGTTCCCTGCCTGTCTGAACTACATCTCCTTGAGTGTGGTCTGAAAAGCAGTGACATTAAGCCACTTTTCTCTCTCCTGTCAGCAGCAGGCAGCATACGGACACTTGTTCTTAAAGGAGACAATTTACACGGTTTGCAGTTAGAAGAGATCACTGTTGTTCCTTCCCTATCAAAACTAAGTCTTCATAGGTGTGGTCTGCAAAACGTCGATATTGAGCCACTTGTCTGTCTCCTGTCAGCAGCAGGTAGCGTAAAGACACTTGTTTTGCAAGAAAACAATTTACACGGTTTGCAGCCTTTAACGATCTCTGCTGTTCCCTGCCTGACCGAACTACATCTCAATGAGTGTGAGCTGACAAACACTGACATTAAGCCACTTTTCTCTATCCTTTCATCAACAGGCAGCATAAAAACACTTGCCCTAAAAGGAAACAATCTACACGGTTTGCAGCCAGAAGAGATCACTGTTGTTCCTACCCTGTCAAAACTACATCTCCATGGGTGTGGTCTGGAAAACATTGATATTGGACCACTTTTCTCTATCATGTCAGCAACTGGCAGTGTGGAGACGCTTGCTTTGCAAGGAAACAATTTACACGGTTTGCAGTCCGAAGGAATTACTGCTGTTTCCTTCTTGACTGAACTATATCTCGATGAGTGTGGTCTGACAAATAGTGACATTAAGCCACTTTTCTCTCTACTTGCAGCGGCAGGCAGCATAAAGACACTTGTGCTGAATGGAAACAATCTACACGGTTTGCAGCCAGGAAAGATCACTGTTGTACCTTCCCTATCAAAACTAAGTCTCCATGGGTGTGGTCTGCAAAACATCGAAATTGAGCCACTTTTCTCTCTCCTGTCAGCAGCAGGTAGCGTAAAGACACTTGTTTTGCAAGGAAACAATTTACACGGTTTGCAGCCTGTAACGATCACTGCTGTTCCCTGCCTGACTGAACTACATGTCAATGAGTGTGAGCTGACAAACACTGACATTAAGCCACTTTTCTCTATCCTCTCATCAACAGGCAGCATAAAGACAGTTGTTCTGAAAGGAAACAATCTCCACAGTTTATCACATATCACCATCGATCGTTTTACCTCGCTTCACACACTTGTTTTATCGGGATGTGGTCTGCAAAACAGCGATTTAATGGCAGTCTTTCATTTATTGTCATCTCTTGGTCATGTGCAGGTAGTCAAATTAAGCGGCAACAATTTCCATGGTAAAGTGACCCAGCCAATGGTTCCCGTTCCTTCGTTGGAATATTTAGTGCTGAGTACTGAGGTGGGACCGATATCAGACATTGGATGCATAGCAGACATAGATTTTGGTGAAAAGACAACTTTTCATGTAGTATAATCCGTAGCACGGAGATGTTGCACTGTTCAATTTCAATATTTCATTTTCTCTTTACAAACTTGGCCGGACAAAGGTGGAATAATTTACAAGATTCATTTGACTGTAAGCAAAAAAAAATGAAAATTATGAAATAAACAGGCAAGAAATTTCAACCACTTTAAATCTCTGGTAGTTTCTTCAAACATCTGATACCGCTGGCTATTTCCACTCGCGCGTTGGTGAAAATATTTCATTTTCTTTTAACAAACTCGGCCGACCAACGTTGAATAATTTACAAGATTCATTTGAATGTAAAAAAAAGAGGAATAAACTGGCAACAAATTTCAACCACTTTAAACCTCCGGCAGTTGTGTCAAACATCTGATACCGCTGGCTTTTTCATTTCTCCGTTCGGTGACACTAAAAAAAAAACACTAATTATTCACTCTACTCTACGCACACGAGCTTGTGTACGATGACCGTTCTTAGCAAAGATCTCCATGATGAAAAGAATTAATATGTGTTGGTCTCTGTCTTGCAGTTCTCGAAGAGTATACAGTGCAAAGCAATCAGTGCCAAAACCAATAAGTAGGCTTACTTCTCGGGCATTCAGAGAATGGTCTGTAGGGTGACACCCAGTCACGGTTAACCACACCCTTCCCCACTCAAACACACTAGTTATATTATGCATACTACCGAGTACCATTGTCGTTCCATTCTCTTTTTGTTATTGTTTGGACTTGTTCTCGACATGTCCCAAAAGATTATACACATAAACCTTCTGAGAAACAGGACTAAGGTTATTGTTCTCCAAGGGAAACCATTTTGCCAAAGTCTCAGACAGAGAACCAAGTGTATGGCCACTGAAGAAAGAACACATTTCCTTATCGTGGAATCAATGTGGACTTTACTTTACATCTCCCTAGGTCATTAACTCTCATCCCTAATACAACGTTCATTGATAATACTTTGGAAATATGAGTTATTCGTGATTTGGTTTCCAACCTTCCCTTGGCTCAAATAAACTTTAACAAAGAAATATAACAAATTCAAGGAATCAGCGGTTGTTGAGTCGAGTCACATGTGTGAGATATCTAACTTATCAGTCACATTTAAACATAATGAAACAATATACAAATGTAACAAAAACAAAGGAAATGCGTTCTGGCTCTAACGTTTGATAAATGCCACCCATCTGCGATAGTGAGCAGGAGGATGTGGGTTCGAGTCCCACTCGAACAAAGTGCTTAAAGCACTACACCATTATCAGTCAACTAAAGTAAAATTTATCTGAAAAGTCCTGCGCCCAGACTTAGTAGATGTGTTGGTGTTGTTATCAAACAATACACAAGGTGATAATACACCCTTGCAGATGATGTGATAACTTTGTTTTCAAAAAAGTTTGTTACAAAAATAAAGCAGACACGTTGTGCTGTACAAGTAAATTAATTTTAATGTCACAACCTGTCCTTGTCTTGGGGCGTATCATGCAAGGGGTCTGTTGTAGAGACTCTAATGATATTTTATTTTGTGCAATTGCAGTTTGGTGCCACTACTATTGGTGGTGGGTGACAAATTGGTATTAAGAAAAAAAACCACAAAGAATGTGCGTGTGCAAAATGGTTATTTACAGTTGTAAATAGTAAATTCAAGGCCAAAGATAAATGGCAAGAATTTTTTGTATAATAATTATAGACAATTATTGAAAGCATACAAACTTAACTGGCCATGGAATTAAAGCTTTACAACAAGTGGCGCATTTATGAAGATACCCTCCGCGCATGATTAAGATTTGTATAAACAACTTATTTTGTATAAAGTTATAACAAAATAACAGAAATAAGAACTATCAGTTGCTGAATTAATCACACAAAAGTGCAGTAGTGCTGGTAAAAAGGGCATTTTCATGTTTAACATGATTATGGCCCATTAATGAAGTTGCCAACATTCTACTGCCAAATAATTTCTCAAATGTTTGTTGTTTTTCTTTCTTTTATTATTAATATAAATATATTTATAAAACAGATGCTACGATCTAAAGCAGAACATGATTGATTTGTGTCCATTGGATTTCAAACTTTGTCACCTGCATGTTTAGAGCTATAGTCCATCATTTGTAATTAGTGCATTTTGTTCGTTTGAAGCAACAAAAGTGTTCAAAATCTAATGAAGGATACTGAACAACTTACTTGATGAAGTTTCAGCTCAGCTTCAGCTTCATATTCCGAGAAAAACAGCATTCTAGGATCTCAATTTAAAATCAAAAGTTGCTAAATCATGTTTCGAATTGTTTTGAATTGCAGCTTTACGCGATGTCGCGCACTGATCCGACGAATTATAGCAACCGCGCGCGCCTTTGCGTCGTTCCAATGCTTGTGCGCGCTGCGCCGAATAACAAAACAAACAACTAATTTAAATTTTCCTACGGTGCTTCTTAAGAAGCACCGTTGGAAATGCCTTCTTTCGTTGATTTCGTGGGTGTTCATCAACTTTATATGCCATATTTTTTAGCTAATGTGATCACTGCTACGGCACCATTTTGACGCCGAAAAAACAATCGTAATATTTTAGTGAACTGCAGCGAAAGTGTTGTGTCCGACATGCACTTGCTTCAAACCAAACATGCATGATTGTAATAATGTAATTTTGGAATTGCTTATAGTATATCAGTATATCTCTTTGTACAAGAATAGATTAATTACATACAACATTCCATTCCATTCCATTCCTTGAAATATGACTAACTTCAAATTTGTATCAGTCTGTTATTCAGTTTACTTATGACTTTAGTACAGAGTATTAACAGCCAATAAGAAACAGGTTTGTAGCGTAACGACAGACACAAAAATTGAGGTGATATTGCATAAGGGTATATCGTCGTGCTGTAATGTACTTTAAATTATAAGTTTTGTTCCTTCCCCACTTCATATCTTAGTGTGATATCCTATTTGTGTGTTTGTGGTTTTTTTTTTATTTCTGAAAAAAAAAATTTCACAAAATGAAAAAAAAATATGGAAATGGTTTGTCGAATAATCAATCTATCAGCTTTCGATTGTGAAAATTTCCACCAGACAGCGGAAGTCGAAATAGTGGGTTATTCTGGTTGCATATTTTCACCATTTGTACCAAAAACAAATGTGTAGTTTGAATTTCGATAAAAAAGGGGAAGAATTTTCCATTTTTGATGTTGCAAAATAACCATTATATAACTGATGCCCAGTTTATGGCTATTGTTGACAAAGGCAGTTACATTTTGAATCTACCGAACTAGAGGGTTTATGTCAATATTTTGTGACTGTGATAAAATGCAATTAAATAAACTAAAAGTATAACTTCAGTTTCATTGACACATTTCTAAACAAAACGATTTTGTGCCGAGGAACTTGTTATTTAATAATAATGTGTGCTCCAAACATCATAATTTAATTCAGCATGTGCAAAGCTACCCAGAATGCTTTATTTCCATATATTTCCCTCCCCGTCCGCATCACTGCCCCTCCCAAATTCTTTAAAAGACATCACATCATCTGGATGCAATGACCCTATTTCGTGTTTGATACTCAAACTTCAGAGTTGGGCGAAATTTCCCCACTTATTCTACTCATTGCTCCGCATGCAGCAGGGCGGCTCCGAGGTTTGCCAAAGGGGATGGCTGGGAGTTTCATGTCAACGAATTTTAAAGGGGGAGTGAGCCGTTGCAATCAGGGCAATAAGAAGAGAGAAAAGGGGAAGTGAGGCAATGACCACATTTTGCAACATTGGGTGACAGATTTTATCCAGATAATTAATGATATAGTTGGGATTTTTATTCAATAATATTAAAGTATTGATCATGGGTCGCTGGGGGTTAACCATTGCCAGCCCCCGCCCTCCCCTATACTGTCCTTCGTTGCATAGTGCGTAAGTTACTGCCTATGAATAGGCTTTAAAAATAGCGCCCTCTTGAAGAATCCCATTCCCGCCAAAATTTATACTAACCGCCCTCTTTCCCTATAAAACCACGCTGACGCAATATATATTTGTTTGTTAATAAGCGAACATTATTATTTGTTGTGTGTACATTTATACCTC